TCAAATGGTTTGAATTTATTTATAAAATATACAAGAACAGTACGTTGCTGTTTGGAGAATTTTGATAAAACTCTAAATGCTTACAGAATCAGAAATATAATTTAAACTGAATGTACCTCCTTCTGAATAATTTATTGCAATATAAATATAAATCCTTTTTGACAAGAAAAATTTGGTTTTTGTCAGATATAATTTTGTTACATGTGCATAAGTAACCACATGTCATGGACGCCATTTTGGTTTGTTTACAAATTGTGAGGAAGCCTCTAGAACCATGACCTAAACATAATCAAAGAGCTGATTGCTCTGAGGTGGAAGAAGATGCATAAAAGGTAACTTGAATTACAATAAAAGCTTCCCCCCACCAACCCAGCCTGCTTTGTCCCATTATTGCTTTCGACGTAATTTTTCTTCCAAAAATAATAATACTCATAACTCAACCAAAACTCACTATACTTAACATAAAAATCTGCAAATACTATTGATTCAAATTAACTTTTCTATAACTAAATTCCATACATTCGTCTCAGCATGGTCAACTTGATGCAATGCAATTTCGCCAAGCAATTATAACAGTAATTGATTTGGTTTCACTTGAAAGTATTCTGTCAAAGGTAGATAGTTAACTTTAAAAAAACTGGCCACTAAGATTTTAATCAACTTTGCTTAAACTAGGGTTTTTCATTATAAACATATATTGAAAAATTCTAAATATATCCAATGCAGATATGTGTCAGGCAAAGGATTGACTGGACATGACTGGTGATGACCTTGCTATGTTATTGCGATAATTTAAAGTCAAGCGCACACGTGAATCTGCTGGTGTTTTACACATCAAACGATGCACCGTCAGTTGACAGAATCACGTGTGCGCTTGACTCTTTTAGCATTTCAAACCCGTTCATTGAAAGTGCTTGACCCATATATATCATATTTGTTTTTCGTCTAATATTTTTACACTAAAGTATGAGGGTAGGAATGGCATTTTCCGTCAGGAGTCACACAGCCCTTTTCTGAAATTTTTCATGAAAATAAAACTATTGACAGCAACGAATTCATGACTGGTTCCGTACTCGAGCCTCGATAATGTGTGTACCTTAATGACGAATAACGATAAAGAGCTGGACTATTCAGTTGTTAAATCCCATTTTTTATCACTTCTAAAACTTTGAAACGTATTAAGGCAATAAAGGCAATCATTTGGGACATTCTGACAATGAACGTCATGAAAACTACGTACTTTCGAAATGAAATCCGTCAACAGACATTAGTTTGTACATTGATATTTCTGTCAACAGACAGTGCATTGTTTGATGTTTAAAACACCAGCCGATTCACGTGTGCGCTTGACTCTTTATTATCGCAATAACATACTTAAATATTCTAACTTTCGTTTTAAAAAACACATGTTGTCTAAAACTGGAATATGTCTTAATTGATTGCATTAAAGAACTGAACGCAGACGGAACAAATTAATCCCTGTATTTTTTCAAGCATCAATGATTTGAAGTCGTACTCTCCACGTATATACTTGACTTTAACTCAAGATGGATTGTATGAATATATGACAATTCTGTTTATCATTATTTTGAAACTTTCAGATGCACAATTAAATTTCCCATTTGTGCACATGCGCTGATACGTAATCAATGTGGTTCTGAATTTCGAGAATTTATACCATATAAATATCCGAATAAGTTTATTAAACTTTAATACCCATAATATTACTAATTATTGCAAGGACGTATAAAACGTCCTTGATAAAAGCAGTCAATATAATACTTCCACCATAAAAGTAAGGAGAAGGAACTCAGGCAGGGTGAATGTACTCTATGGGGACGAACTCAGGGCGAACGGACCAAGGTCGAACATGTAATCAGGGCAACCGACCCGATACCAAATTCACGCACGCGTACTACAAACTCTACTTTAAAGACATCCGGTTACAAGTAAATAAATAACGTTCATGTAAGATGAGATGAAATCTAATAATTAACATAAATAAAAGGGTTGATATTACTACATTAAAACATGAGAAATTATAACATTAACGATAGTGATCGTTTTTCAAGCCTAACTTATAAATTAAATGATGCAGATTGGATCATGTGTAAACATCGGTGTCAAGATATGGCACTGAAGTTGTTATGAAATTGTAAAGCACAGAAAGGGATACGGCATACGTCCTGGTGACGGTTCAATGATTTTACAGCCGGCAGTAAAGGCTTTCAGAAGACTTGAAGTCTTCTTCCACCAAAAAGTCTTCAGAAAACTTAAACTTGATGCAATAATATTTTATCAATCATGATTATCTTCATAAATTAAAATATGATTATTTAAAGAAATAAAATATATAACAAATACGATTTTAGTTTAGAGACTTCACAGACCATGCTTTTATCTATTTATAGCCAATTAGTTTACCTGTGATAATGTAAATAATGGATATTAATTTGTTTAGAAAACAAATGAAGACACAAACTATGGATGGTAGATATATTCACATAATTATTTCAGTACATTTGATTTATTTTAATAAATAAAGGATTTAAAAACTGCAAACAAATTTGAGCATTACACATACATGTGAACCTCCCGATGGGAGTACAATAATCCCATTTTCAGGTGTCTCCACCCGTCCTCCCGTTCAAGAGAAAAAAATCCCTTGTATGAAATAATTCATGAATGAAAACTTTCAGCCGCCATATCCGGTGTAACTGACATTACCTGAAGTTAAATTTTACCTGTAAATCAATTAACATGCATAATTATATGGCTTCACTTGCCAGCTTGGGTGTCAAACATACTGGTAATCAACGATTTTTACCTCAGGCTTACTGCCGTTGTGTAATAAAAACTTTGTGTATTTAAAAATAATTCAAATAAATTTTGGGTTACTTCCCTTATTTCATTCTTTTTAAGTTACTTTCCTTTAAATAATGTAAATTGTTAAAAGAATATAAATGAAATATAAATTGAACAAATAATCATAAAAGGATGGTAATTAAATGATTTCAAATGTCTTACGACAAATAAAAAAATAATAATTTGGAAACAATTTGAGGGTTCTATACTTCTTTTCAAGGCTTAAATTAAAATTTATATAATAAGTATGACCTTAATAATTAGTTCATGAGTGGATATGTTTCTAGCATGATTGAAAGTTCGATTTGCAGTGATTGAGTTGAATAAAGGTAAAAAAAAAAAAAAGAAATTGAAGAATTTTAAAGAAAAAATAAGAAGATTGTTAGATTTATTAAATACAAGGAAAATTTACATGTACAAGGGTACTATAAACATATTAAATTCGGATGGAAAGTTGAAGAAAAAACACTTTAAAAGACAATTTCTACATCACACGGTTACATTTACGACAAAACTTCTGTCGATAAAACACCTCCTGATCTGAGTCCTAATCTCCTGACCAAAATTTCCCAATCTCCTGATCTGAGTTTCACAGTCCATCACATATATGATTACATAACCTGCTGATAATTTTTTACACAAACATCGTGGTGATATAACTGATAAAAATCACTCCAGCCCATTCACATATATAGCAATGGTCAGGGTAGGTAACATCTCAGGATTAGGTCTACTCATTTTTGCAGAATATTCAATGAATATACATTTATCGTCTAATTGAATATATTGGATAATGGGATATTTTAAGCTGACATTTTGGGTATCCAATTTGCCGGAGTCTACTGTACCATATATGGTAGTCTGTGTTTTAAAGTTCAATAACTTCTCAATGACATTTCAGAAATTTATGAAAAACTAAAGGGAGTTATTTTAATAGATATAAACCAGTCACCAAAGTTTCATGAAAACTGCTCAAAGCACTTTAAAGATATTGTCCGAAAACTGAAAAAATCACCCCCTTTTTATGAATAAAATCCCATAACTCAGAAACGTAAAATCTAAAATTTATAAAATTCGAAAGGGAGCTTATGTCAATAGATATAAACAATTCACCAAACTTTCATGAAAATTGCTGAAAGCATTTTTGTGTTATTGTCCGAAAACTGGAAAATCCCCCTTTTTTCAATGAATAATACCCCATAACTCGGAAACGTAAATTCTAAAATTTATAAAAATCAAAAGGGAGCTCATGTCAATAGATATAAACAATTCACCAAAGTTTCTTGCAAATTGGTGAAAGTGTTTTTGAGTTATTGTCCGAAAACTGGAAAATCCCCCTTTTTTAATGAATAAAACCCCATAACTCGGAAACTTAAAATCTAAAATTTATAAAAAACAAAAGGGAGCTCAAGTCAATAAACAATTCAGCAAAGTTTCATGCAGATTGGTTAAAGCGTTTTTGAGTTATTGTCCGACATGTTGACGATGGACTGACAGACTGACAGACAGACGGACGGACAGACGGACAATAGTATATCATAATACGTCCCGTAAACAGGCGTATAAAAATAAGGAGATGAGATATGATTGCCAATAAGGCAACTATCCACCAAAGTTCAAATAAAGTGGATGTAAGCAATTATTTATCTATATTAGTTTTCAAGAAAATGAATCATGACTCAAATGGACAGGTTGTACAGAGTTTCTTAAACAACTGAAACTAGTATATAGTCAACATCAATAAGTGTACAAACTCTCTGTGAAGTTTCACGCATTTGGATTGTTAATCTTTAACAATGGGAAACAACCCATCCTTCCTAGGTAGGGTTGAAATAATTTCCACAATTATTAGTAAAACTAGTCTCATTTCAAATGAATCAATCTTTTTCACCCCCATTTTTTTTAATGACAGTTCAACTACTAATGCACTCAATGAAACAGGTAAATAATTCATTCAAATGTCCCTTAGTGTAACAATTTGTTAAATCATTTGATATGACAATATTCACAGTGACAGTGTACAAGGGACACCCGTACATACTGTGAATTCAACTATCTAAAATATCTTGTTCATGGGAGTTAAATGTACTAGATCTTTTATAAATTAGATGGTAAGTAAAGAAGTAAAAACTTACCCAAGATCAAATTTGGCCACTTCATCAAACAGAAACAGAACAAACAGATGTGCCACATCATAACATAGTCTCTCATCGTTCTGATTGAGGAAGGCAACTGAAGAAAAAAATCATTTGAATTAGTGACAAGACCGATATTGATGTGCTGCTTGAACAGTATACAAAATGAGATTCACACATGCCACTTAAAAAACATCCAGGTCTAAGTTTTCAGTTCACTGAATGCTTTGAGAAAATAAGCAGACACACATATCAGATATGACTTATTTAACTAACCTCTAAGTAGATTCATATATATTTCTGTGTCATGAGCCAACTTGTGTCTAAGAACATAATCATGATGTACAAGATATCTCAATACTGTTACACAGGATGGAACAAATGGCAGGCTTTCATTCTAAAAATAAACAAACAAGATATCTCAATACTGTTACACAGGATTGAACACATGGCAGGCTCTCACTCTAAAAATAAACAAACAAAATATCTCAGTACTGTTACACCGGATGGAATATATGGCAGGCTTTCGTTCTAAAAATAAACAAACAAGATATCTTAATACTGTTACACAGGATTGAACACATTTGCAGGCTTTCATTCTAAAAAATAAACAAACAAGATATCTCAATACTGTTACACAAGATGGAAGATATAGCAGGCTTTCGTTCTAAATATAAACAAACAAGATATCTTAATAATGTTACACAGGATTGAACAAATGGCAGGTTTTCATTCTAAAAATAAACAAACAAGATATCTCAACACTGTTACATAGGATGGAAAATATGGGAGGCTCTCATTCTAAAAATAAAAACAAGATATCTCAATACTGTTACACAGGATGGAACATATGGCAGGCTCTCATTCTAAAATCAAAAAGAAGATATCTCAGTTTTGTTACACAGGATGGAACATATGGCAGACTTTCATTCTAGAAAATAAACAAACACGATATCTCAATACTGTTACACAAGATGGAACAAATGGCAGGTTCTCATTCTAAAAATAAAAACAACATATCTCAGTACTGTTACATAGGACCAAACAGATGGCAGGCTCTCATTCTAAAATCAAAAACAAGATATATCAGTATTGATACACAGGATGGAACATAAAGTAGGCTCTCATTCTAAAAATAAAAACAAGATATTTCAGTATTTGTTCAAAGCATGGAACTGCTAGAAAGGCAGTTTGTTTACTAAATATGTTTGTGTTTTCCATCCTTTTGTAATGGAATCACACCTGACAGGAGATTATATTGATTGAGGTCAGATGATATACCTCATCATTAAATTTCTTTTCAGAAAATTTTAAGACTTGAAACTTTTATATCAAAATTCAATTACGTATAAAAAAAACATTTTAACGAGTCCAACATTTGCTTTTAATCATTATGCAATACATATTATGCAGCAATAAACAACCCATCAATTTTTGAACATACACAAAAGCTAATATTGACATACAACAGAGTAAAAATATATGCCTCACATCCTCTCAATGAGTGCTTAATAATTACATAATTCAGATATGAGATGATAAGTTTAAAAGCGAAACAATAAACAGAAAAATTACATTTTTCATTTAAATTTCTAAAGAAATGGATTTTAATTATATTTGTGATAAATCATATAAAGGGTAATGGTTTATACACATACCTTTGTATTTTCATCTGGTTTCATTATACCCAGTTTTATATATTTTATAATTTCCTTTACTCCTCCATCATTTTTGAATGGAGAATGTAAGTTATGGTCTGAAAATATAAGTAAGATTATTTTACATATTTTGTGAGACTCAATTACCTTCATTGTTTTTTCTTTATAGCTTGTTAAATGATATGATTGATTGTGTGTGTTTTAACGTCACTTTAAAGCGCCACTTTTGGGCTAGTTTGTGGTGGCTAGTTTTTATTGGTGGAGGAAGCCACAGTGCCCAGAGAAAACCATCAACCTTCAATAGGAAAACTGACAATCCTAGTCAATTAAGATTGGAGTCGAATGCACCCACACGAGCGGGGTTCGAACTCACAACCTCAGTGTTGACTGGCTAGTGATTACAGTAGTAACTACTTAGATCACTCGGCCACAGAGGCCCCTTAAATATGCATAGTGAACTATTTTATTGAATGTTTATTACCTTCACTTACCTTAATACATACCACAAACATATTACAAATTGTTTTATTCTCTTAAGGAAAATACCTCAACAGAACAACAGAAAAATAAATCATTGAAGCAGAGAAGAATGTTTTTTGTTTTTATCATATTGAAATTGGTCAAGAATGTAATAATAATTTTGCATTAAAGATTCATTTTCAGCATAAATATTATTGAACTTTAAGCTGGAACATGTCTGATATCAAAACTTATAAAGCATATAGATAAGAATTGTTGATATGAATAGTTGTAATAACTTGCAGGTAATTCTAACTTGATGATTTTTTTTTATATTTTACAAGCTAACAACCATTTAGTACAAACCTTGTAATATAATGGCAAGCTGGTCTACTGCAGATTTCTTCACTCCAGGGTCAACTGAATCTGACTTAAATATCTCATAAACCTTTCTTAAACCATCAACCTGCAAGGTAATTAAATTACACCATACACATTTGAAAAATATTTACTCTAACATTGTCAAAACATGAAATAAGATTTTCTTTTTCTAAATTGTTATTCTTGTAATAGAGAAAACTACATATACTTAAACAATCTAATTAAATTAAATTCAGTCCATTTATGAATGTTTTAAAATATTTAGTGTTAAAATATATTGATATCTTTAGAATTATAAAACTCAGTCCATTTATTAACAATTTAAGATATTCAATGTTAAATACATGTATACACTAATTCATACACATCCAACATCATAATAGCCTCCTCCCTTAATACAACTTCCATTTCTTACTTATTTCCATCCATAAAGATCTCTAATCTAAAAAAACTGTTTGTTAATTATTATTTAAATTACCTGGAAGACAGATCGACCATAGTCTTCATCTAAAGATCTTTGTGTTTCCACAATAAATATATTGGTAAGATTAGCTACATCTAAAGAGGAAAATGCTGGTTGTTTGTTCTGGCTATTCTCTTCATTGGATAGGAACCAGGCTAATCTCTTCAAAGCTTCAGCTCTACACCTACAGTATAAATCAATATAAATTGCAAACGTTTTGAATCTCAAGGGAAAAAAATGTAGTAGAACTATGCAACTTATTTTTTATGTGATCCTGTGTGTCACACAATTTATGGATATTCATTTATTGAAGAGTGACTAGTGATACTCATTTTTCTAATTAGATATATAATTAATTTCTTTATACCAATGTATCATAACTGCAGAACAAATTTATTCTATGCACCACCTTTTTGACCACATTAAATATGGTAAACAATTTTTATCATTAGGAGAAACTTTTGTAATGCTTTAAACCATAAATGGATGTCTGCAGTTTTTTCTAGATAGAAACTAATGTTCTTTGTCACAAAGACAATAAAAAAATTTAATCAATGATGAATAACCCTAAATATTTACAACCAGCAATGAATACTGCTGAATAATCTTTTAAGGTTCTTGATTTGTACCAGAGTTATCTCCCATTAAAACGATGTCACAGAGGTATGTAAACAAAATGGCAACAGCCAGGTTAAAAGTCCATCAAGTGACATGGAAATAAGATCAAACAAGGCTTGGAAATTCATCTAGTGGGGATAATATCTCTTGTAAATAGCTCTTTTCAGTACCATTAATAAATTTACTGAAAGAGTCAACCATGGATGTACATATGAGACATTCTTAGACACAAAATAATTTTCTAATATTTTGACAATCTGTTACTAAATAAGGCAAGTGCTTTTTCAATGGTTTAAAATACCCTTCCACTGTTAGTTTGGTATAATAAAACATTGTTGCCCCTTAGAAATGGAGAATCAAAATTGTCAACCCTAAATATTTATTTTACTGACATAGATTTCATGTTTTTCATCAGCAGGATGCTAAAAATGTACATTTTAATTAATAAATTAAAACAACTTCTAAGTAATACTAATAAGTATGTGTTATTAGTTCATAATATGAATGAAAAACTTCTTCAGAGTAAAATAGTGCCTTGATTATACCAAATATTATCTAATTTCTTCAAATCTTAAAATTAGAAGGATTTTAGATTTAGAATCCTATAGAAAAGACCAGCATCTATCTGAAACAAACAAAATCATCATAAGACAGATTAAACAAAGATCTTCCAAATGTTACCAAGATACACAATAAATCTGCACTGAAAACCCTAACCACTTTTTGTTTAAGTGATAATTGCCTGATTGTAAAATGGAGATATTCTGTTTATTTCAGTAATTGAATAGGAAGTTTTTTTCTTTTAAGGCTTATATATTTTAATAATCAATTTATAATAAGTGTGCACAGGCTATACAAATTCTGGTTCAGATCATGAGAACTCTGTATTTAAAACCATCTAATGTTCCATCTGGAGTTCAGGCAAATATGCCTAGGACAAAGTATTGTTTAAAAAAATAAATGTGGATAGTGTCCACATGTGGACACAGATGATGCCCCCGCTTGCATACCATATAGTTATAAAGGGACATAACTGAAGAACGGTAAAAGTGATGCTACCCAAATTTGAACTTGATCTGAGTTTTGTGGTAATAAGCATTGTGTATAAGTCTCATAACATTTGGTTGAGGCTAACTTAAGTTGAGAACAATAACTAAAAATTCAGCAATTTTTCTATTTGTAAACATGCATAACTCTAGAACGGTTGTGCATAAGTTTTATAACATTTGGTTGAGACAAACTACAGTTAGAGAACGGAAACGAAAAATTCAGCAATTTTTATGTTTATAAAGGGACATAACTCAAGAATGGTAAAAGTGTCGCCACCAAATTTCATACTTAATCTGTATTATGTAGTAATAAGCATTGTGTATAAGTTTCATTACATTTGGTGGAGGCAAACTAAAGTTAGAAAACGGAAACAAAAAATTTGTACTTGATCTTAGTTTTGTGGTAATGAATATTGTGTATAGGTTTCATAATGTTTGGTTGGGGAAAACTTAAGTTACAGAATGGAAACTAAAAATTTTGCAATCTTTCGATTTATAAAGGGGCATAACTCAATAATGGTTAAAGTGACACTACCCAAATTCAACTTGATCTGTGTTTTATCAGTGGAAGTCAAAATTAAACATTGCATTGTATAAAGCATTGATTGTAGTTGATTCAACTATAATCATGGACAAAGGAAGATAACTCCAATTTTAAAAATTACTTGATATTTAGAAGAAAATAAAAATTTTGCAATTTTTCCATTTATAAAGGGGTATAACTCTAGAACGGTTAAAGTGACGCCACTAAAATTCAAACTTGATCTGTGTTTTGTGGTAATAAGCATTGTGTATAAGTTTCATAACATTTGGTTGAAGAAAACTTAAGTTAGAGAACGGAAACTAAAAATTTTGCAATTTTTCCATTTATAAAGGGGCATAACTCTAGAACGGTTAAAGTGACGCCACCAAAATTCAAACTTGGTCTGTATTTTGTGGTAATAAGCATTGTGTATAAGTTTCATAACATTTGGTTGAGGCAAACTAAAGTTAGAGAACGGAAACCAATTTTGGGACAGACGGACGTACAGACGGATGTACAGATGGACAAGGATAAAGCTTAATGCCCCCTCCTCTACAGCGGGGGCATAAAAAAACATTGTATAACATTCTATCTTTTTTGGTATTCAGTTTTATAGTAACAGGCATAGTCTCATATCTTTGCAAAATGAATGAACTTCAAACATAAAACATATTTGATAACAGATGTAAACATAAATCCCCCTTATAGTGCCTCGGTTCTCTCTAGTTATAGAAATTGTTCAATAGATTTAATACATACCTTATGTCCGATGTAAACATGACCCTTAAGGTGCCTCTAAGTTTTTCCAGGTATGGCAGTTGTCCAGGACATGTTGAGATCAAAGGATCTATCATGGACATTATACATTTACCCAAAGTACTGTCACTATCAGCATAGGACTGAAAATAAACAATCATCTGATGAACCCAAAAATGATTCAAATAATTTCAAGTTATATAACTATTTCTGACAGCTATACTCATATATTTGAAACTATGCATCTCAGCTTGTCTGCTGATTACAGCAAATACCATTCACAGGTTACACATTTTCATGCAAATGATCACAATTCTTAATAAAGAGAACTATTGAAAACTGGGAGCTGATGTGATTAGTTTATCCAGAACTTGCGGAATCTAAGGTAATGACATCTTCTTACTAACAAGGATCATGAATAAAAGGAGACGTGGACTATAGAAAACCAGTTTAGGTCAACAGGATACCATTCTGTTTCACCTGAGTAATTTATATTTCAAATACCAATAATGTTGAATAGCTTAAGTTACAATTTTAAATAGAATTTACCATTTGTGAAAAAAAAACGAATTTAATGTTCATTGGTATAAATTGGAATTTGAAACCTTTTATTTAAATTTTTTTTTGTTAGAAACTTTAGATATATATTCAGGTAAGATGTTCCCAATTTTTTAATATATGGCAATACAAATAAAAATGTTACAAATTATTCAAAGAAAAACATTATTAATTTTACTCCAAAGGAATATTCAACATTCCTGTTGAAATTCAAATCTATGTGTAAATAAGTACCTGTATGATGGGTAATGACTTGTGTAAATTGGTCAAGAACTCTGTCCATAATTCTTCTGTCATAAATAACTGACTGTCCAGCAGATGGCATACTAAATCATTAGATGTCTTAGATACCTGAAATTGTCATGGAAAAAATAAACTGCTTCACAGTAAATATCCATTGAAAAAAAAATACAAGATCAACATTGTTTGAAAAAGACACATGTTGCAAATACATAAAATCGGTTTTTGATGCGTTATGATTGTATGCCTTATTTGAAGGTTGAAGCAAAAATATAAAACGTTCATATTTTAATGCCTAAAGTATATTATAAGTTCTCTTTCTACAGTCAAGGATATAACTCTATAGGGTTATTAGAGAAAAATAACATACATTTGTTATTGTGGACTAAAAAATCAAAGACCAGTGATAACACATGTATGTTACATGTTTCAAAGGGACAATATACATCATTAGTTTTGTTAAAATGTGTACAAGTTTTATTGATATTACTGTTGTCTTTATGTATACTTAACTATAGAAAGATATAGCAGTTCATAGTTTGCCAATCATGCATAGTACACCTATGTTATTACAGAAAAAATATGCCTGTAATAACTAAAGGGTGTTATTACAGCTTCTCTTTATCACTCCAAAGCATTTGCTCAGACATACATCATGTTTAATTACAATATATTTCAATTCATTGTAAGAAATAATGATCAGAGCATGTAATGAGGTTCTGCTGAAGCTTCCCAGTAATTCCCAAGTGCTTTATATAATAAGTTACATGCCATTAATAACTAAGCCTTGTTATTACAGCTAAGATTATCACTTAAAAGCCTTGTCTCATTTATTTACCATGGTTAATGATAAATGTATTAATTTAATTCAAAAATTAGTTATCAAGGCTATGCATTTAGTTTCTGCGCAAAGTTTCAAGAGTTCCCTAGAGTCCACTAAAAATTAAAATGTTGATGATTTATTTTACAAATAACAAACATATGTTATTACAGATTTAGAAAATTTAAGGATTAAAGAGTAGACAACTCATAAAAATATCTGTAATAACACATGTAAGATATTTTCTGTAATAACCCTATAGAGTTATATCCCTGACTGTTCTATAGCTTGATAAAAGTGTACAACTGAATATAATATTTCAAGCAGATTTAACATCAGCTAAAGATGTTTCTTACAATTCAAGAGTCTCTGCATTATTTAAGAAACGATTATCTAAAAATTGTAAATCCTGTTTGTAAACTTTCACCGGTATTATATATTTTTCTACCAATTATTCAACATGCTTGGTTAAGTTTATGTAACATTTCAATACATTCTCTGATATATTGCTATGTGTTGGACTGTTCCAGAAATAACAGATATTTCATATTTCCTTTAATTGTTCAGGCTATCTCTCTAAAATAATCAACACCCATCAAATATTTATAGAAGTGCCTTTGGACCATGTATAGAATCAATTCTGGAACAGCCCTAATTATATCCTCAAGTGAATGTTTCTCATACTTATTTTTCAAGGTACCTTTGTATCTTTATCATTGAGACCAAACACTGAGATTTCATACAGTATATCAGGATCCAGTAGAAACCTTGACAACATACAGGCATCAGAATTAGGGTCAGATGCTTCATCTACACTTAAACAACCCTGAAAGATAAAGTTTAATCAATATTACTAATCTTATTATCATAATTACAACCTTGCTTTACTACCAGCCGATATTCAAAATGTAATGTGTCTTTGAAGTGTTTATCTTTTAATTCAACTAAAATCTAGACACCGTGAAACCATTTATAATTTTGGATAACAAAATATCCTTTGTTTTGAAAAAAAAGCATATGTTCTTAAGCTGTAAATTGTAGTACTTCATGTTACAATGTACTAAATAATATGACACCATCTCCATGTTTCATGCCCAAACTTCTAAAAGTTTGTCAACTTCCTTTTATTTATATTAAACAATCTATCATTTTGACTTTAGAACCTTGTCCACAAAACTTTGTGGGACAAAAATCTGCTAACACAAACAATGAGAGTAAAAAAAGTACAATTTCAAATCATTCATGTGAAATACTTTGCAAATTTGCATTAGAAATTTCAGATAACTAGACTTTTGAATTCACCATTTCAGAATCTAATGCATTCTGATTAATATTTTCAAAAGTGTATACCAAAATGTTGTGATTGGCTAACAACGTCCTAAACAATGGGAATTCATCCAATGGTGTGATATTATCTTCATTTTGGGGTACGAACAATGAAATTACCCATAATCCTTTAGATTACAAAATGGGGAATTCTATCTAAGACCACACCAATTTAATTTCTTGTTCTGCAGATTTTTCCACTCCAGAAATTGGAGCTAGCGAGCGATTTGAAAATTTTAATAAAAAAAAATTTAATTTGCTGTACATTTTTGAGGCGAAGCTTGAAAAGTAAAGGCGAGCAATTATATTTTTTTTTTGTAAACATAAAATCATAGTTTCTGACAATATTGATCAAAACAAGATGGTATGAAACTTGATTTACCACTTTAATTTGACAAGTTTCTTTAATTTATCAGCTGCTGAAGTGTTTTTTTCCCCTGTTCACCACGACATGTAATGCCCACTTTTAATTGCAGCATATTTATGACTTCTTATATTACTGTTACTTTCTGAGGACATCAGATCTTGAACTGAATAATTGAATAATTATTTCAACTGCCTTAAATGATCTCCATTCAATTGTCATAGATGTCTTTCCTCCTTCACCGGACCTGAATTATAACTAGCAAAACAGCGGTTGTCTTGCAAGAAGCAAGAACTGCTTATCCTCCTGGGAACATCTTTTAGTGTTCTCAGTTTTGTTCTTCGTCTTTTTAGCACTTTGTATATAAATAAGATGTGGTATGAGTGACTCTCCATACAAGTCACAATGTATTTAAAGTTAACAAGTATAGTTCAAAGTACGGCCTTCAACACAGAGCCTTGACTCACACCGAACAGCAAGCTGTAAATAGCCCCAAAATGACTAGTGTAAAACAATTCAAACAGGAAAACCAACGGTCTGATCTATATATAAAACGAGAAACACCTATGAACTACACCAACAAACGACAACTACCGTAAAACAGGCTCCTGACTTAGGACATGTGCATTCAAATGCAGCGGGTATGCATAGTTTTGCTTAAAGTTTTGTGAAGAATTGTCCTTGACTTTGATAAGAAATCTGTGTTAATGCTCGAAACAGTTTAAAGGATCGCGAATTGACATTGACTTAAACGCTTTGGCGATCGCTTTTTTTTTTTTCAATGTTTACAAAAAACCGGCGTGGGAAATAGGCTGTTTACTTTTTCACATGCGGGAAGCGGGAATATTAAACAAAATTTTTTTGGTTTAGAAAAAAATATGTGCGAGCTAGTCCGTCAAACAAGGCCTAATGCCAAGTAAACACACTTGATTTGTGTACCTTTACATACCTTTATGACTTGGAAGATCGTACTGTATGTTTGAAGTCTAACTTTGGGCAGAGGATGAGCTAAAAACCTCAAAAGAACACTTCTACAGTTTATCTGGAGATCTGTATTTTTTTCTGATCTAGCACAACTGTAATAAAACAAGTGTAAAAATGTATGCAATATATTTCAACAAATTCATGTTAGATTAAAAAGCCTTGCAAAACAGCATACTTATTTTAAAAAGTTATTTTTTCTGAAAACTCCATGCTTATGGACTATTAAAAATGTTAAAATTTTGCATACATAGTTATTAACAAGAGTGGACACATTGAAGTGTCTTGCCTGCTTTACTGACCATTGATTTTATGTTGAAAGTCTTAAAGATAAAAATTTTACTACAAGCATCACATTAACTTAACTTTTTTAAAGATATATGAAAATGAGGTCCAGGTCAGATGATACCTGCCAGACAGACATGTACACCTTACAATTATTACATACACCAAAAATATATGACCTATTGCTATTAGTATTTGAAAAACAGACCAAGACACAACAACTTAACATTGACCAATGAACCATGAAAATGAGCTTATAGTATCTGAGAAACAGACCTATTCAAGTAACTTTAACCTTGATCCCTGATCCATGAAATGAGGTCGAGGTCAGGTGAACCCTGTCTAACAGACAAGACATTGCAAGGAACACAAATACCAAATATAGTTATCCTATTACTCATAATAGGTGAGAAATTCCATGACAAAAAAACTGTAATTTTTTTTCAAGCAGTTGCTGAACCATGAAAATGAGGTCAAGGACAATGGAAATATGACAGACAAAAACTTTGTAACATAAGGTATTTGCATAGTATGAAGCAGCCAGGTCTTCTATCTTCTGAAATATAAAGCTTTATACAAATAGTTTACATGGCTGCTGCCACTGCCGCCGAATAGTAATCCCTTTGTCTTTGTCGCAGACGAGACAATAAAATGTGTACTTACACAGACGATGATAATTTAACAAACTCTGATACCAGGGTAAGATGTAGATGGTAAGGTAGACTGTGTATAGATTCATCTGCTAACTCTGCCAACTCACAACTTCCTTGGTAAGCCTACAATTTATTGATTTTTTTATAAATATGTTCTGAAATAATTTATTTTGTAGTAAATCAGGAAAAAAAATATCTGAACTATACACCTTTCATTATCAAAAAGACAATATTTATCAAATCAGAATATCTATCAAAAATTTTTAAAATGTGCAACCATAAAAAAGGAACTATTTGCAACTATTGAAAGCTGTTTATAGCCTACTGTGGATTTATTTTTATAAAGTAGCCAGATACCAGTTTTCATGGCTTTCTTCAATAAAAGAAAACCACTATTGAAATGTTCAACCAAGTCCAAATTTTCTATAGACTTGTAGGCAGATTTTGGTAAAACCACAAAATCAAATATCCTCTTAAACACAATTTTTCATCAATCCTTGAAAATTGGATGTACTAGTAATTTAAAAGTTTCTGAGTCCTGTTGATTCACTTATTAATGATTTAAGAAGATAACATCTACTTCGTTTGGTCTCTGGTGGATAGTTGTCTCATTTGCAATTCTTAATTAAAATTATTAAGATGTTGTTTCCAGATTTCACTGATTTGTCATTTCTTTACATTTAAGATGTTAAATGAACATAATTTGTCATTTCTTTATATTTAAGATGTTAAATGAACATAATTTGTCAATTCTTTACTTATATGAAATGAACAAACTAGTATGCATTCCATTAAGAAATTTCAACCCAAACCATCCTATTAACAAATCAAGGTAATGCGACCTGAATCAATATGTTTCATTTCAGCATATTGCTTGAGTTTTACCACTCACAATTGTTTAAAGCGTTTCTGTGGAATAATGTAAAAAGAATCAACCACTTGTATAAAGCTGGATTCACAAATAAATTTAAAGGCCTAAAATGTGTTGTTTCTTCTTATAATTCATAAGCTTCTGTATATTGAATAAGAATACAATAACACTGTTTTAAATAACCATAATCAACTTATATTGTTAGGCTGCTGTCTAATTGACATTTATCTTACATCTTTTTTCATTCATACTGTGGATTCATTATTATTCATGTGGATTTCATGGGTACAGTTGAACCACAAATTTAAATTTTCAACTACATGTAAAAACAAATTTTCTATAGGCTTGTATGCAAACTTTAGCAATACCGCACAATCAAATATTTATGAACACATCATTTTTCCTCAATCCGTGAAAATTGGTAAACACGAAAATAAATGAATCCACAGTAAATGAATCCACATGAAATTGAACAAGCTGTTCCACATACCTCTTGTTGACAAAGCATTAGGAATTTACATGTTTTCTGCATTGATTGACACACTCTTGAAGCTGAGACATAAACATTGTATTTCTCTCTATCTACTTGTTCTAAGTAAGCCAGCAGCTTTATCTGTACATCAGAATAACTTTGAGAAAGCCCCTCATCAAACACAACTATTCCTATAGCTGATACAAGCTGTGTTGGAAGTATATTTCTTGCCTGAAAAATAAGAACGTAACATTTGTATGCTTAGTATAATTGTGACATGGATTGTGAAATAACTTTCACAACAGGCAACTAACATTTTTTGTCCTCAATATACATAAAATATTTACCACTTTATGATAAACAATCAACTTACACATGTCTGTTTTCACAGTCTTTTATCATTTGTAATAATAATCTTAAAACTTCAGGCTTTAATATATTTGAAATGTTCTCATTGCCAAAATTGTTCCATACCACTGAAACATAGATCAAAAGATATAATTCATATCTCTAGCTATTGCTAAGCTTTTCTGAATTTGCCATTTCCAATCACATCAATAAAGTTTAGCCTCACCATTATTTGAGCATTCAAGTCATAATGTTTCTCAACATTGAAATATTATATATAAAGTTATCTGTGTTCCAGGTCACTATGTTCTATTAACATTGAAATAGTTCATTTAAAATTAGTTGCATATGCTTCTCAACTACCTTTCTATCACAGAACCACTAATGTGTTTAGCTAATAATAAGCTCTACACAAAATAATGAGGTTTTAATAATTAAGACACAAAGGAATTGCACCTCTTGACACAAACTTGAGTTGTCTGTGCTCACTTGCCAAAGAAATTTTAGAACAGTAACTCAACACTTTACAACACCTGATTACACGCTCAAAGATGTATGAATTTACTAACCATTTTATATGGAACAAATTCCTGGAGTAGCCTGGCAAGGAAACAACAGATTCCAATATATGCCAATCTGTGTTGAATAAGGTCATTGCTTTCATTGTCATGGTCATTATTACGATAGTGATGATATAAAATCAAATTTCCAAGAGTCTCAAAACTGTTAGATAGTTTTTCCACCTGAAAAATATGAAAACATGAAATCAGGTCAGCAGAGATTACCTTTTTGAATATTCTTTACTCAGTGTATTAATGTTCAATACAGGATGTTTTTGAATAGCTCTTGACAAATATTACAGTAAAAAAGATATTATTCTTTGCTAAATAAAATTAAACACAAGTATGATTCTGGTTGAAATATATAACATACTGTAGCAAGAGAACACTTCATGCATGATGTCAAATCTTGACTTTAAACAATAGTATGTGGGACTGACATTTTACTTATATAAATATCGTTTATTTTGAAACAGTTATGGCTTTTTACAATATAACAAGGCTGCATTATGACACTTCTACTCACAATTTCTCTGGCAGGAGATGACACATCATTCCACACTTCCAATGTAATAACAGATGATAAAATATCTAATATCTGATTAACAAGATATAATAATTGTGTAACAACATTTTCATTGCCTGTCTTCAGAAGTGGCAGAGCTTTGTCTAAAACACAGCCACAAAACTGGGGAACTGTCATCTGAACGTATTGTAATGACTGCATGTCCTCTAAATCTGTTTCTTCTTGTTGTACAATGTCACCGCCTAAATCTAAACTGGAAGCTCGAGATGAAGATCTGAAACAATTGAAAAATCTTTTGATTAAATTCCTTTTAGTCTCCAAATCTATTACTTCTTGTACTATATGACCTCCTTATTCTATACCCAAAATATGTCATGGACATCTCTAACAAATCTTTGCCACTTCCTTTTTTATTACTGTTCGAAATATAATAATTGTATTGCTACTTTGAGGAGAAGCATGTTGTCGAGCATTAAAAAAACAACAAAAACAAACAAACTAGGAATTGTTTTTGTCAATGTTACATATTTGTATTATTTATTGTTTATTTGTGTTATTTAGTAACAATCCTATACACCTTATCGCTATTTGTCCGCCATTTCTGGACATCACACAAGTTCCCGTAAAATTTTGACGTCATAATAGAAAATATCTGACGCCACAATGGAAAAGTGATTGTTGTATGACGTAAAAGTTCGAGCGGGACTGATTCTCGGGTCAAGCGGGATTAGCGATAAGGTGTATTGTTTGGATTTTATACTTATAAAATATCTTATCTCCTTATCTAACAAATGAGAAATGAATTCAATCATCTAATTAGTGTATCTTCAAATCAATTTTTGTTCATTAAATCAATTACTATAACTGAACTTAATTTTTTTACACAAGATTCTGAAACAAAGAGAAAGTGATATTTTGATCAAACCTTAATAGGAATTTCTTCAACACCTTTTTTTCTTCTATATTGAATGTATGGGTTATTTGATATGAATCTGAAAAAAATTTATTTATTGAATCTCCATCAACAAAATTTTTGTTCCTCCCTCAGTGGGATTTGAACCTTTGCTTCTGTGACATCGTGGCAACACCGCCTGCACTGTGTCCTGCACCCTAGTATATATATATATATATATACAATCTACTATTTCAGCCGTACATAATAATTTATAGGTAATATCCTATATTATCTTGATCTCTGACTTTTGAATAAAAATATATTGATTTAACAGATATTTATATATTATATTATTATTATATGTGTCAAAGTGAAACCAAGGCCTTAACTGGGAAAAATACCAATACAGTTACCAAATTGTAAATTGATCGTCTATTTTAAATGTATTTTCTGTCAAAACTACCTGCTACATGTTGCCAAACCTACCTGCTAGATGTGGATGAGTCACCATCTCTCCCATCACCTCTGGGTCTTGGATCTGTCCAACCAGCAAATGAATTTCTGTCTGGAGGTGCAGAATGATTTGATAATGAACTCGGCGAATTCGAAAATGGTGATGAACTTGGTGAACAGAAATCTGAAATAAATATCAATATGCTATAACATACATTTCTATGCAAATTTTTAATACATTTGATTCAGTTGGGATCAAAACACTACATTAGTTGATGAACAGACATCAAACTTTAACTTCAACAATGTTGTCAAAAATGCATCAGAAATTTCAAATAGCATTGTGATTACAAGATGAAATTGAACTATAATTCTTTATTTAATTGCCAAATTTCTTGAAAAGGAATTGATCATTGACTACAATAGATTTTGAATTTTTTTACTTATAGGACAAGTCTGCTGTGTCCTCACACCTAAGACTTTTGGCTCACTTTGGCAAACTCATAAAACCAATAAGATAATATTTTGTGAACAAGTTCATGAAATCTATTATGACTAAACCCCTAAGATTTTGAATAATGTGTCTCTAAATTTAGGAAAATAGTTCTTCAAATGTTTGGTGATTTTGCACATTCCTTCTAAAAAAAGTTATCATTGAACAAAATAAAAATTTATACCACAAAATACTGTTGAGTTTGAACCACAGACTGCAAAGGATACGTATCAAAAATAAATTCATTTTGATAAAATTTGCCTAAAATACAGTAATTCAAACCTTGTTTTGGCGTATATAATGACGGATCTTGGTAATATCTTATGCGTGACATTAAACAAGCTGCCAGATCTCCCAGTGTTTTGGCAGCATGTATCGTTAGCTGTACATTCTGATTAGATGTTGATCCAAGTAGTGAAAGTAAATTCTGTAAAATACAATCAACATAATTGTATAATTCCCATTACAGACAAGACCATTGTTTGGAGGGATTCATAACCAATCAAAACATTTGGTGTACACTTTTGAAAATATTACCCAAAATGCATTAGATTCTGAAACAGAGAATTCCGAGACAAAATTACTGTTTTACATTTCTTATGTAAAAAATTATATTTTGTTCATTTTAAGGAGGGTGAATGCCAGGTACCACCCCCTCACCCTTGTCTTGTCTTTATAATATAGTCTAGCTTTCAACATTAATAAGATAGGTTCTTAAGAAAATAGCACATTACATTTAATGCAGTTAAGTCCTACAAAGGGAACTGATAATATTAAAAGTATTATCATGAAATTAAGCAACTTGTTAATACAAACTTAAATTCTCAAAGCTGACAACTTCTGTTTTAGCTGTATGATTGGTCTTAGAGAAAATTATATAAGTATAAATGTTAATACAATTTTGAAATGTGTTCAGTTGATATTTGACTGTCTTAACAATTTGTATATCAACCAAACTGTTTGCACTTGATTATTCTCTTTTAGTTAGTGGACTTTCATAACTGGGATGGGTTAACATTTATTTTTGAAGATAATAGTCACCTTAAGATGTTAAAATTCTTGACTTGTGTTCTTTAATGAGTAGCAACCTCATTGACAAATGTTTTATAATTTTCAGCATTGTTTATTTGTATATATAATCAATTTTCAATTCATATTTAGTGAAAAAATCTGAGAATTACCTTTACTATATTTGGTCTTTGTAAAAATATCTCAGAAGGAAAATCTCTAAAGACAACATCACTTAAAAATTCACAGGAACTTGCTAACAAATGTGACTCTCTGCTCTGTAAGGATCTGAAATAAATTACTTTTAAAAATTATAAAAATACTCAAATTCATTTAAACTGAACATATATCTTTGGAAATATTTGAGAGAACTTCAAACTTTATTAATAAGACATCCCCTCATACATACATAGTGCTAGTTTTACTTTAACTGTAGATTGTCACTATTTTTCTAACATATGTACACATGTGGTGAATTGTTTGATAATTTTTTTGACGAAAACATGAAACAAATAAAAAGAGATGAAGTCAATTTTTAAATAACATTAATCTTAATTCATGAATGTAATCATTTTTTACTCTGTTGTAAAAAAAAAATGGGATACACATATGTATCATTACTTACTCTATTCTTTTTTTAAACCTCGACAAAGTTGAAGTTTTGGAGTTTATGATTAAGATCTTCTTTTTTTGCATTGTTGTTTTTGTGTTTAATTTGACTTACATAATATAACAATAAAATTAAGGAAAATCCAATTCATTTTCTAAAATACTTACGAGTTTGTTGATAAGATGACATGTCTGTCGGTTGATGTGAGAGCCAACCATGGGAAGGTTGTCAAAATAAAACTACTAGCTGTTTCTAAAATACGAAGATTCACATAATGTTAAAAACAATTCACAAGGAATTGATTACCTTTTTTTAAGTTTCACATTAAAAACTACTATTGTTTAATAACAAGATGTAACTTTTTTATTTAAATGAATGAAAATTTCATTTTTTCAATTCAAATAAATGTACTTTAAAAAATAAATAGCAATTTTCAAGTTATAAAGTGACATAGCTCTAGAACAGTAAGTGACTCACTGCCCAAATTTAATTCTGTCTGTGAGTTTTGGTTCTTAGCATTGTGTATGAGTTTCCTAAAATTTGCATGAAGCAAAGTTAAGTTAGAGTGTGGAAACAGAAATGGGTCGGACAGGTTGACGAACAGTCAATGGTAACACATTATGCCTCCTTCATCTACGACGGGGGCATGAAAATACAGATATTTAACAAATACCCCTCCGTAAAGGAAAATCTTGATTTGAATTTATGTCTGCAAGTACAATGTATGATCTGATCAACAGGATATGCAACACTTGTTATAAATCATGTAAATCCAGGTTGTCTCCCCTTGGTTGATTTCCCATCTGTTTTTATTGAGTTGAACATCAGTTTTCTTGAAATCTTAACACTGTCCTGTCAGATTTGGGTATTATTTATAGTTCCTTTTTTCGTCATATAGCTCTTCAACAGTTCAGTTCTTATACATCTTGGCTTTCAAATATTCTGCTTTTTGCGTTCCTGGTGAAGGTAAATCCAGAAAAAGCGCTTCAGACGCATGAAATTTATAAAGTGTTGTTTTCTTTTTTTTCTTCAGATATCATGAGTTGACTGTACTACATGTACAAACAAAATAAACTATTTACCATTGTTTTGTTGATACTGCTGCTGTTGTTGCACTGATTCTATAGCATCTCTGTTAAAATAACCAACATTATCATCCCTGGTTCCAGCTATATAGGGTGTGTCTTGATTGGCAGGAGGTAGGGAGGATTGTAGTGTGTCTACTGTTGTTTCGGCTTTAAATCCTTTTAAAAACAAACACATTTTAACAACATTTTTTAAAACTCTATCGTTTTTGTGATTTGAACTTTCCTGTTCCACCAAAATTCGATTTATGAGAGGAATTTATATAAAGTGCCTAGGAAAAAAATATCTTATCCTTGCATTGTATTGCTGTTAGGGTTACTGAATTTGTTTTATGAATAAAGTATTGTTCATACTAAAATTCAATTCAATGTTTCCATCTTTGTTTGTATAATAGCCTAGAGAATAGAAAGGTGAATTTATCCCATTCATACAATAGTTGATGTATCTGGCTTCATGCACAGGAAAAATTCAACTCACCAATAAAATCTATCATTAATATAACATATCTGTATCATCACCCATTATTTTAAGATCATTATTTGAATTTCAAATGTATTTAATTGTAATTTAACATTTGAAAAGAAAATGAAGTATCATTTGGGTCACGTGACGATTTTCAATTTCACCCAGAATCATCCATAAATTTATTAAGAAAGTGAAGTGAGCTGTAAACTGCAGTTATAGAGAGCTACATAAAGGGTTTCTATTTTACAGTGACCTTAATATCTTTTACTGGAAATTAACACAAAGCTTCAGAAATAGAATTTATTCCAATTCATTACAAATGACTGTACAGTCTCCAACATGGTCATGATTAAGTGTTGAGCCATAGTCTTTATGTACTATGATTTGTCATGGTTTAGGGTTGAGTTTACTGTTTTTTTAAAATGCTTCAACTTTGGAGGACTTTTATACAAAAAATGTTGATATGACTAATGATAAATCTTCTTTAAGGAATTTTTACCTGTCTGGTTTTCCTGTTTTTGGTAAATGCATTCTGGTGCATGGTCCTGATGTTTTATTTCTGGCAGTCTCATGGTATTCTCTAAAATCTGGTCAATTAAAGGCTGTAGAGAGCTGGAAACATCTTTTCTCAACTGACTCAAAAATTCAATTCCGCCAATATCCTGAAGAATTTCAGCAGCAGGGGAATGCTGTTAAGATAAATTATATGAATCAGATTTTTAAAAACATTTATTATCTCATTATTCTGAGTTTCAACAATTTTTTTTACTGAATGGTTAAGAATTTTTTGAGAAAATGACCTAAGCATGAAAACTAAATGTTCACTTCATCAATTAATTTAACCGTAAAAATGCAACCATGGTCATGTACTAGGTAGAACCGTGTGACCATTTATTTACATATATAATCTTAATACATACTACCATAGTTGACCCAAAAAAACAATCATACATATACATATGTATTTCTCGTCTTCATGGCAGGCATGATTATATGCATGTTTGTTCTTCATAGTTTCCTACCTGTGTCAGTCTGAGTAAAAGTTTAAGGACATCTGCATTACTTGTACTGTTTGGAAAATTAAACCATTCCACTATTCTAATCAGGAGATGACGTTCATGGATCAGGTCTGCATCACAAATTAATTTATGTTCTAATTTAGACAGTAAATTTTCAAGGGCACGAATTCTGATCTCCTCCAAATCATGACCTGAAAATGTATATTTAATCATCTCTACATTATTAAGTAAACCAAAGTATATGTGTATTGTATCACCAGAAAAAAATTTGAAGATTTGTTTTCATCATCATGTAAAACTATTAAGATTAACATGATTAAAGTGTTAAAGTGTTGAAAATATAAAATCATCACATCTAAAGTTTCATAACCTGAAAAACTGATGATTACTGAACTAGCTCAAAAAGTGCTATTTTTGTTTACATAAATTCAATACCAGTATGAAATCATATCAGAACCAACATCTGTGTTTATAGGATGACCTGTCATGTTAGGCGATGACCTTGTACTGAATCTGGGATAATGACATGAAAATCACTTTAAAAGTATCATACCTCTATTTTCTTCCAAAAAATCACTTCTTTAAGTATCATTATCTTATTTACCCCCACTAATTTCAACACCCCCAAACAGTATAAAATTTACAGATGAAAGATTGCATCAAAAGCATAAACCTTGCTGCTTTTAAGAACCAAAAGGTTCATTTTTTTCAATTTTACTACCCGTTTTCAATTTTACTACCTGTATGTTTAAAATTTTGGTAAAACTACAAAATCACAGAATTTCTAACTTGCTACTTAAATGAGTGATTTATAAATCACTTATTTCAGTAACTTCCCTGACTGCTAGGTATGGGGCCAGGGTGTCAGGTTTGTTCGCTTCCATAACACGTTCCCAACCTACATGTTCGCACCCCATTTTTATTCAGGTTATATTATTAGATGTTTTTAAGATTTATATATCAAAATATTTATATTTTCATGATTAAAAAATTAGTGAATTTTTTAAATGAAGTATGAAGTTGTTAGATGATTAATCATTGTTAATTATTTATGATTACTGTTAATTGGTATATACAAAGCTAATTTGGTATTATTGTTATGAGTTAGAAAATCATGATTGTTGTTACAGCTAGCTTTCAGGCTTTGGTGTAGTTAGCCTAAAAATTTTAGAGCTCATTTTGATTCGGAACAGTGCATGATTTGAATGATTATGTGAGCTGAAAGTTAATTAGTGAGACCCCCAAATAAGCCTATTTACATAAATGCATATATGTTGGTACATACATTTATCTTCTTAACATTTTTCAATTCGTCAAAAATAATTCTCAAAACACTAATAGAAACCCATTTTCGGTTTTAGAGTATTTCTTTCTTTTGACACAATAAAAAAAAGTATTATCTTGATTTTATAGCAATACACTAACTAAAACACGATTAACAAATTATTCACCACAAAACCTTTAAAAAGGGTGTGAATGTGTGGGGTGCGAATGTGAATGGGAGCGAAAGTGATTTTGGGCGAAGGACACAGATTTGGTATGGGGAGGTATGGCTACATTCTTAAGAGAGAATTTAAGAATTGTATGGTATCATACCTGCCAACTTTTTTAAATCTCCATGGTGGATTTTAATTGCAAGAGGACCTAATGCTCCTCTTATATTGTCAAGAGTTTTTAATCGACTACTATATTGTTTGAACGAGTATGTATGTGCCTAAATGCCTGTTTTGAGGTGTTAAGTTAATTATAATAAAGAATTTCAAAATTCAGGTCAACACCTCTCATAGCCATAGGGGATATCTCCCATAAATCAGAATAGTTTGCATGTCTATGGTATGAATCATATCAATACTATAGCATGAACTACTGAGCTGACAGTACTCTCACGGACTAATAGTTGACAGCAGTGGTATCAACCCATAGATTATAATTTAGAGAAAATAATTGTTGGGTCCAGTATCCCAGGCTACTTCATTTTGGGCTGCGTCCCTAAATTTCAGCTGAAAATGTTGGCTTATGTTAATCTTGGATATCATGGCAGGTTGGGCTTCTAGATGGACATTGGTAGTTTTCCCCCTGTAACTTGTAAATATGCAGCATCACCAGTCACAGGAGTATCATAGTTCTATGAGGTGATGCTCAATGATTTTATTGTTAGTCAGTTTTCATCATTTCGCCATTCATCGAAAAAAGGAAGACATCCCCGTGTAAGACTAACCTAATTTTTTAAATAAAGCTTGAAAATTAATATCTTGTCTTAGGTTTGTTGTCATTTTTGATAAAATTCGTGCTGTCCGAACATGTTTCAAAACATCCGCTCTGATTTTCAAGGGAGGTAATACCATTGCTTAAGGTTTATCTAAAAAACGTCACCCTTACTCCGATTAGCGGTTTCCCTAATTAGAGACAATATAATTTTAGCGACAAGAAGCGACAAAAAGAAGAAAAAAGGCGACAAAAGTTTATAGAATTTATAAATTTACATTAAAAGTGGATTAATTACAGTTTATTTATTGTTGTTTTATATAGATTCTACCACTGCATCGAGTGTGATACGATATTTATCCACTCGAGACAGTTAAATTTTTTAATTTAAAACGCGAGGCTTGCCGAGCGTTTTAAATATTTAAAATTTAACTGTCGAGAGTGGATAAATATCGTATTACACGAGATTTGGTGGTGGAATCTGTTTCTCTAATGATTTTCAAACAATATGCAGGCAAATTTATTCCGTCTTTTCGAATGATCTGTAAAAAGATGTGTTCTTTCTATGTGACGTCATCAGGCATGGTCGCCTTTTTTCATGCCGTCACAATAGGAAATTAAGAGGAAAGCAAGTAAATTAGACGTCATAATCGGATTTTAACCAATGAAGAACTGAGATCAAACGAACCACACGTTGATTCAATTTTTTTATACAATGGGTGCAGAAAGGGATAAATTGACGAAGAATTAGAGAAATAAAGTTACAAATTGTCTTATGTGTCTCTGATAATATCAGATTATTGGAGGATTAGCAGGCTCCTCGCGTATGTGTTTATATCTATATTTAGAGTAATTGCTTGTGTTATATTTAGTAGCACCAAGGATTTGTATAGTATACCAATCCTTGGTAGCACTACAGTCTTGTAATGCATTTTTTATTAGCGATATTTTTTTTTTATTATACAGTATCGTTTTTAAGTATGTATCAAGCTGAACATTTTGTAACAATCTCCCAGAAGTATCATAATGTCACAACAGGGAGCCTTTGTACTCATTTATAATAGAATTGTAAAATAAAAGCACATACCAATTACTCTAAATACAGATATAAACACATACGTGAGGAGCTAATCCTCCAATAATCTGATATTATCAGAGACACATAAGACAATAAAGACAATAATAATTGTGTATCATATGTCTCTGATTATACTCATGATCTGTCTATAAATTAAAGAATAGAGAAAATGACCTAAAAATTTAATTATAAAGAAATGACCCCCCCCCCCCCCCTTTTCCATCAAAACACTCGTATATACCTTATAATTTTTAACTATAATTTATTATGCATGCAGGGGCGGATCCAGTCATTTTTTAAAGGGGATAAAGGGGGATAAAGGGGGGTTCCAACTATATGTCCCCATTCAAATGCATTGATGCAACCCCCGGAACCCCCCTCTGGATCCGCCACTGTATTATGTAAATATTTTAACATTTTGTTGTGGAGGAAGTTAAGAATCAGATCTACCCTTAAATGATTAGGTTGATCTCCGCAGCACTTTATATATGTATATATATAAATAACATATAGAACATTTTAAGTCTGAAATAAATGCATTTTTCTATATCTATTTATTTGAAATAATAAGTATTTGATTTTTTTGCGCTAAAATTGTTTTTTCAGTCGCTATATTAGTCTTCTTGCCTCTAAATTATTCTTCTTGTCGCTTTTTGACGCTTCTTGTCTCTAATTAGTGAGACCCCATACTTTAGTATGGCTAATTTGACTGCAAGACATTATTTTAAAAAAAAAAACTCCTTCAGGCAAAGTTGACCTATGCTGAATTTGGTGTTCTTTTAATATCCCTTTTAGTCATTCATTTCTAGGTATTTATACATCTCAGGTTTTGAAATATTTTTATCCCAGCGTTCCCAATGAGCGTACCAGTGTATCCAGAAAAGCTGAAATTAATAAAGTGTTACAGTATTTTCATTCAATGAACAGTACAGCTCTGAGACATCTACTTAAATAAAACAGCATATTTTTCAATTTCTTTAAAAAAAAAACTCAGCTTTTGCATGGGGTTTTCAATGAAAGATCAACATAAAATTTTTACTACTGAAATTTCATCCTTAGAATTTAAGATAATTGTTGGCTTAAAATTATATCATCGCCATAATGTCACATACAGTCATGGACTTCCATTGCTACATTAGCAAACAATAGTGTTTGGTGATCTTAGTTCTTTATGAATAAAATCATTTTCCATTCTGCAGACAATCTGTCTTAAGATCAACACTTCTGTCTCGTGAAACTCATGAGACAAAACGATACAACTATTGATAAAATGTTATCATTCACTATATCAACTTGATTTTCCGGCAATTATTATTTAGGAGACGACCATCATAGTTTGAAATTCGATGGGGATGGAGTATGTGGGCAAAAGTTGTTGTCTGTCGACATAATATTCATTTTAACCATGTTAACCTCTTTTGCAAGCCTGTTTCGCTTTTTTTAATGGCATTTATTATCTTTATACCTATTTCCTGCCGTTTGTTTTGCAAAATATTCATTTCCACCCTGTTATGAGCAAGGTTCTTTTTTTCAATTCTTCCCTGGGCAAAATACGCCTCCCCCTCCCCTTCCAAACTCCAATATCAAATGGTCATCAACTTAGAAAAACAATGTTGGTATTTGTCATACTCACTTTTGTAGAAGGGATGCTATAAATACTTATTCTGGCAGGGTATAAAACAATGAACTAGAATTGAGAATGGAAATGGGGAACGTGTCAACGAGACAGCAACCCGACCAAAGAACAGAAGTGACTACTTTAATTATTGTACTTTTCCCCTTATGATTGTCTACTTAAACTCCAACAAACTGTGTGAAAGTTTTTATAGCGTTTGGCTATATTTATCCGTGCTGAAATTTTAAGATTTCAATGCTTTAAAACGTTAAGACACAACATCGAACAAGAGTTCAATAATAAATTGACTATTAGAGCTATTATAAATGTTTGCTCAAGCATTGTAATTAAGATTGACATCTGCAATCAATAGATAGGCGTGACTTCAACTTGTATACATTATACTTAAATGTTATTGGATGTTAAGTATAAAGCAAAGTATAATGTGTACAAGCTGAAGCCTATCTGTTGATTGCAGATGCCAATCTTAATTACAATGCTTGGGCAATCATTTATACAAACAAAGCTAGCAAGCCAACCAAACCTTTAAACTACAAGCATTAGGGAAACAGCTCTATAATAGTCACGGTATTGACTTGACTTATTAACGAAATAAAGATATAAGGTATAGACATGAGATAAATGTGAGGCCCTGTATATTACTTTTCTGTTTCTTGTCCAATCCTTATATTCTTATTTTTCCCGATCAATGCACTATTGTTGTCTTCACACTGCAATCTAAAACTGCATGCAAATTCATAAATATTTGTATAATCATTTTTTATAAAACAATTTCAAAACTACTTGTAAAGGTTTACGCTTGAAAAGGACTTTTACTTTGTGACAAATTAAAGCTGTTGAAACCTGTATGAAAAAAAAGTCGAAGATAGACTGACAACGCCATAAGGCAAAAATAAAACTAACAATGTCCTCTCACCAAAAGATTGAAAGTTTGGTGATTACTAGTATGTTGATCGCACTGAATTGCTGCGACATACGGATATGGAAAGAACACAATTGGGAAGCCGAAATCACCCCTTTTGTTGTTAACTTTTGTTCTCAAGCGACCCTCATTGTCAATTTTTAGATCATGGAAAGTCAATTTATGAGACAGTCTTGCTATCCATTATTTCAAGTTCGATGGGATACGTGCGCTCAACATAATAGTAATCACAAAACTTTCAATCTTTTGGTGAGAGGACATCATCTATATAGCGGAATGTGAAGATACTGGATTATGCTAGCTTCTTTTCTTTCTTACCGAGTCTCATATGAATAAAAAGACAATTCGACAAGAAGAGGAGCACAGTTGGTGCTCATTGAAATGTCGATTGTGTGTCGTTCCTCAAACCGGTTACAAATATGTAATAAAAATATCAAGCATCTGGATGATGTAACTTTCAGAGAATTTTTTGTTTGTTTGAGTCAGAGTGTGTTTTTTTCGCACAAAGTATGATTTGTCCCTTTCTTAAATAAGATATTTAAATATCTACGTTTGCTATTCTTTTTTATGAAACAAAGTTGAATATTTTTTACAATCTGTCTTTAAGTTTAGAATGGGGAATATTAGTGTACAGGGTAGAGAAGTCAAATGGTTAATTGTTATAATATTGTAACAGGAAGACATTTGGATTGTACATGTATGTACTCTAGTTTGGAACTTTTAAGTATCCACGTCTCATTCACGCCGCCCCTATGCACAGTAGGTAGTTTCAAATATTTCTGAAGCCTAATTTTCACTGTTGATTAATATTTAATAGACTATCTGTATTTTGACGACTTTCTACTATACAAATCCTTGGTCCCAGCTATAACACAATATAGACGATTATAATAGTTTCATGTAATGTAGGTACGCGCATATATGTATTGTGACAGATATTTGACATAAACTTTGGATTGATGACGTTACAATTATTAATTTAATTTTATTGTAATAAGAAGTACGTTGATATTCGCGTAATGTTACATAGTCTGCTTAATGTTCTTTTCCCTCAGACTCTCAGCAGAAGAAATACTGTGAGAGCTGATTCGTAGGTCGATCTTTACATGTAGGGGTAAACTAGCCGCGAACAATGCCTAGGATGGTGTAGATGTAAAGGCAGGCCGGGCGTTGTTATCGATGTAGAGGCAGGCCGGGATCGACTGACACCTATTATAGTTTCAAAATTCAAACTTTGACGTCTCAAAGCAGAATTTCTACTTATATAGCAATCATTTATTTGATGGTATGCCAACATGACTTTCTTTGTCAGCAAATGTGGTTATTGTCCGAAATATAGTAAGATTTACTGTATAAATCCTTGGTATACCATCATGACCAAATTTTCTATTTTTCGATTTTTATTGTGGTGACTTTATTTCCTGTGACTTTTTATCCGTTGCTATTTTCCTGTGACTTTATCTTACATTCGTGCTTAGAATTGTTTGGTTCGGGATTGACCTACGGATTATAGATATTCAAAGGGAAATCAACACTGTACACATGCGCTCTTCATTTTTCAGAATGGCAACTGGGGTACTCGGACGTATTGCTCTTCGTCGTGCTTGTTTACTTGCAAGAGATGCACAGAAAACGCCACATATATGGAAGCATTTAAGAACAATCAGCGTATCTGCAAAACTCTACGCTCGTATGTAATTTGAAATGAATGAAATAGTTTCAATGCAAATTCAAAATAAGAAATACTATAATTTCTTTCTGATGAAACTGGTTACTACAGGCTTATAATTATATCCAGAGACATATATACTAAATGCTATGACATTTTAATTATCCGGCTATTAATCACTGACACGTACTGAAATCATGAGATTTTATAAAAAGTTGACCTGTCACATTTTCATGTACCTGTTCTAATTCTGTAACCTCGTCACTATTCTTGTACGAAAAATGTAGCATCAGCAGATTAAAAGATTACCAGATACATGTAATTAACAGTTTGGAAAAGTTGTTCTCCATTCTGCTAATTAAATCATGGTGTCACTCCAGGAAATTTAGATATTCATCCATAAGGTTCATGTTAACATTTAACAGTTTAAGCTAAATTGGCTGCCTCTATACAACAAAATTTACTCTTGAGTGCAGACAAACCTGTATGTCTGGAAAAAAATTTTGGGCATGCAGGCAAGACCAAATTTCTATTTCAGATAATTAAGAACTTAACTTGATGTTGCTGTGTTCTTAGAGATTTTGCAATGTGTTAAAAACTTTTCTAGATGCACAGGTTTGTCTATTTACTCTAAGTAAATTTTATATTGTATATGGTTTTTAGGGGTATCAGGTCCGTTGGCCCTGGGTCCTTTGCCCCGAGTCCGTCCGCCCTACTTTTGAAAAATAATATGTCGGTATTAAGGTTTAATAAACTTATTCAGATATCTTTATGATCAATATTAAAGAAAATATATATATTCTCTAAATTCATGAAAAAACATGGAAATGTTTAAAAATTAAAAGCTTGTTTTGGAGCATTAGGGAGCTATCATTTGATTTTTATTGGGGGGCTAGGATGAAATTTGAAAAAAATAGGCAGGACAGGAGTTTTGAGTAAAAAAAAAGGCAGGATGAGACACTTGCAAAAAAAAAAAGTCAGGATGACAATTTAGGTAAAAAAAATCGGGATAAACTTTAAAAAAAAAAGGCAGGACCGAATAGAGTGAAAAATAAAAAGGCAGGACAGAGATTACAACTAAAAAAAAAGGCAGGACAAAATTTTTCATTCTAGCTCCCCCCCCATAAAAATCAAATGGTAGTTCCCTTAATGGGCTTCATTCTTACATAAAATTTGTTTTATTTAGAATTTATTTTTTTAAATGACTTGATTGTACTTTAGAATGCTGATTAGGTATAATTATGATGTCCTTCAGCTCACTTATTTTTTGTGTTAATTGTTTTTGTTGGATTAATAATGAAATTAACAATTTAAAAAAAAAATAAACTAGTCTGAATAGTAGTAGTAGTCAGCTTGGAATGAGTAAAAACAACAATGTACGAATTGTAAGACATACACAGGAATTTTCTTTCGCACGCAGCTTGGCTTCTTTGATCTCAAGTTCCTTTTGACACATTTCCTATATATGTGCTCTTTAAAATAATAGTGTAAATAATTAAGGACATAACTGGTGTGTGATGCAAAGTTCGAATTGGATCTTGATATAACTGTTTATGATTGTTTTGAAATTGTTTAAAAAATTTATCAATAAAGATAAATACATGCAGATAACATGGTCTTCAGTTGTTTTATATTAAATACCTTGTATTGCGGGTACTCTACAGTGCAGGTTAAAGGAAAATAATTATTTGGTAGCAGCAATACAACATAAAATTTTTTAACAAACTTTGGCATACTCTTTCCAAATAATAAGCAGTATACAACAAGACAACAAAATAAAATAAAAATCAGAGCGAAAGGACCCAGGGCGAACGGACCCAGTTTCATTTTTAGGTAGGGTTCCTCTGACTTTGACCTCATTTTTATGGTTCTTTGATCAAAGTTACATTAATTTTTTTGGTGGTTACATGTAGGTCTGCTTCTCAGATACTTGAACCAATAGATGAAACATATTCGGTGTGTGAATAATAGTAAAACATCATGTCTGTTTGGCAAAGTTTATTTGACCTTGACCTCATTTAAATGGATCATTGGTAATGTTAAGTTAACATCAAACTTGTAGTAAACCTTTCTCTGAAAGACTTTCAACATAAATTTACAGTTCATGGTTAGTAAAGAAGAAAAGACATCAAGTATGTGCACTCTTGTTTTCTTTTTAAAATATATTGTAGGGTGTGCTGAGACACTGGAAAATTCACAAAATTAAACACGAAATTTTACCACAAGGTTCTTTATTTCTAAATGAAGGTTGGGATTGATTTTGGGGTCATGGCCCATACTGTTTAGGAATTAGGGGCCGAAAAGGAGAAAAAAAACTAGGATTTTCTGGACAGTAACTTGAGAATAAGTCTATGGATTGCTATTAAATTGTACCACAAGGTTTCAAACCGTAAAAGGAAAGTTGGGATTAATTATGGGGGTTATGACCCTAACCGTTTAGGAAAAAGGGGCCAAAAACAATATTTTTGTAATACTTTGTATAAATAGCTTATTTCTTGAATAATTTCAATGGAGCTTAACTCAAAGTTTTAAATTATTGGGGTTCTTTAATATGCTGAATCTAACAGTGTATTTAACATTTGGATTTTGGGCCCTGTTTTTGAATTGGTCCATTTATAGGTCTAAAGGGGCCAAAATTAAACTATGTTTGATTTCATCAAAAATTAAATTGTTGGGGTTCTTTGATATGCTGAATCTAACCGTGTATTTAGATTTTTGATTTAGGGGCCTGTCTTCAAATTTATCCACATTTAGGTCCAAATGGTCCAAAATTAAACATTTTGATTAAAAAAAAAAATTGAATTCAATGGGTTCTTTGATATGCTGAATCTAACTGTGTATTTCAATTTTTGATTTTGGGACCGGTTTTCAAAAATGGGCCAAATTGGGGTCCAAAATTAAACTTTGTTTGATTTCAGCAAAAATTGAATATATGGAGTTCTTTGATATGTTGAATCTAACCCTGCATTTAGATTTTGGATTTTAGGCCCTGTTATCAAATTGGTCCACATTGTGTTCCAAAGGGTCCAAAATTTAACTTTGTTTGATTTCGTCAAAAATTAAATTATTGGGGTTCTTTGATATGCTGAATCTAACCGTGTATTTAGATTTTTAATTTTGGGGCCTGTTATCAAATTGGTCCACATTAATGTCTAAAGGGTCCAAAATTAAACTTTGTTTAATTTCACCAAAAATGGAGTTCTATGAATCTAACTGTGTATTTAGATTTTGAATATTAGACCATAATCGGTAAAAGTCAAATTTAAAATATTTCAGTTCTATGACCACATTTAGTCTGTGTCAGAAACCTATGATGTGTCAAATACTTGATCACAATCCAAATTCATAACTGTATCAAGTTTGAAAGTAGTGTCCATACTTTTCCCAACCGTTCAGGGTTCGACCTCTGCAATCATATCAAGCTGCGCCCTGCTGAGCATTTTATTTCAGTCTGTTATTATACATTTTTTAGGTTACTAGTTGTTTTGAAATATTCAAAGTGCTCTGTTTTTCAATAGTTGCTAATAAACATGATAAACACAAGATCACAATTGGTTTCAACTATAAAAGTTTACAATTGTATTGAGAAAATGTTCAGAGGTTGGAAGAGGTTGTTTCCTACATCTGCAGATTTTCTAAAGACCCTAGTGGCAAAAGGAAGTGGTGCTTTTGTGTATCAAAATGCTTGCGAATCAAGAGTTAATTAATAGTTTATTGTAAATTAAAGAAAATCACAGAGCCCCGAATTCTCATATCTGCACCCTGTATTACTCACATATTTACATTAATTTCCATCTTGCTCTGAAAGTGATATAAATTAGACATTGAAAATGTCTTGAAACTTCTTGCTGAGCCTGTTCACAATCAGCATCAGCAGAAACCAATCCATCTGTCATGCCATGTGGAAAGAGTATATTGTGTAAATACCCTCCATAAGCAAGACTGACTTCCAGCACTTTTCAGACTTTTTTACAGAACATAATTTTCCCTTAGCATGATGATGTTCTAAAATTAGCAAAATAGGCAACTGTGGAATTTACTTGCAGAAGTAAGTAAGTGATACTTAAATGAATGATTTTAAGACCAAAAAATTGACACATGTCTTTCACACTTTTCATAATGAAGGTTGGCAACTGCAGCTCCATTTTTAATTTGAAAATTTTTGATCCAGAGTTTTTATACTTTATTTGATATAAAGTCCACAGTTTGAAGCATGTCCCATGAAAACTTAGACCGTTGGTTTTCCTGTTTGAATTGTTTTACACTAATCATTTTGGGGCCCTTTATAGCTTGCTGTTCGGTGTGAGCCAAGACTTTGTGTTGAAGGCCATACTTTGACCTATAATTGTTACCTTTTATACGACGGCAAGTCGTATATTGGTATGACGTTGGCGTCATTGTCGTCAGAAGACACATTGGTTTTCGCACAATAACTTTAGTTTAAGTGAATGGATCTCTATGAAATTTTACCATAAGGTTCAATACCACAAAAGAAAGGTTGAGATTGATTTTGGGGGTTATGGTACCAACCATTAGGGATTAGGGGCCAAAAATAAGCATTTTTGTAACTTCCAGACATAACTAGTGTGTTAGTGTATAGATCTCTCTGACATTGTACCACAAGGTTCCATATCACAAAGAGAATGCTGGGATTGATTTTGGGGGTAATTGCCACAACATTTTAGGAATTAGGGACCAAAAAAGGGGGAAAAACAAGCATTTTTCTAGTTTCATGACAATAACTTGTGTGTAAGTGTATGGATCTTTCTGAAATTGTACTACAAGGTTCCATATCACAAAGGAAAAGCTGGAATTGAGTTTGGGGGTAATTGCCCAAAACGTTTAGGAATAAGGGGCCAAAAATAAGCATTTTTCTAGTTTCCAGACAATAACTTGTGTTCAAGTGTATGGATCTCTCTGAAATTGTACTGCAAGGTACCATACCACAAAGGGAAGGCTGGGATTGATTTTGGGGTTAATTGCCTCATAAGTTTAGGAATTAGGGGCCAAAAAGTGTGAAAAAACAAGCATTTTTCTAGTTTCAGGACAATAACTTGTAAGAATATGGATCTTTATGAAATTGTACTACAAGGTTCCATGTCACAAAGGGAAAGCTTGGTTTGAGTTTGGGGGTAATTGCCCTAAATGTTTAGGAATTTGGGGCCAAAAAACAAGAATTTTTCTAGTTTCCAGACAATAACTTGTGTTCAAGTGTATGGATCTCTCTGAAATTGTACTGCAAGGTACCATACCACAAAGGGATGGCTGGGATTGAGTTTGGGGGTGATGAATCATAAGGGGGTTCAAAAAATTGGGGGGGAGGATTTTTTTCCCTTTTTTTCCTTTTTTTTTCTTTAAAATTTTCCATTTTAAATTGGTTATTTCTGATTTATATATAAAAACAAATAATAATGATATGGTTTGAATAGGTTAATTAAAATTTTTTAAGTTCTTAGACCACATTCATTCTGTGTCAGATATTTAATCACAATCCAAATTCAGTGCTGTATCAAGCTTGAATGTTGTGTCCATACTTGCCCCAACTGTTCAGGGTTCAACCTCTGCGGTCGTATCAAACTGTGCCCAGCGGAGCATTTTATTACACATTGCGACTTGGATGGAGAGTTGTCTCATTGGCACTCATACCACATCTTATTTCTATTGACAATATATTCTGATTGAGCTTATGTCTCCTGAGATCCTAGTTTTACTTTGTTTTGCTTGTTTGTAAAGATCAGTAGATATCAAATTTCCTATTAACATTCAGATAGAACATGTAGAAGCTCCCTAAAGCATATAAAATCATTACAGTTCATATGACATTTATAAAAAACAAATAAATATTGCAACTAGGTCAATGAGAGTATGACCCTTTTCCAGATTGGTTATATGAGGATCATATGCAAACTAGGTATAAGTTTTCTGAACTCTGCCCTCAATATATTAAATTTTATTTCTTTATAATATACTGTATATTAATATAGTGTTTGAAAATAAACCTCGTTTTATCTTTCATCAAATTGCTGGTGTCAATTGGAGAAAGAAATCATGTATTTATCTTTGAAATAAGTTACTTTAACTAACTATTGATAATTGATAAATCTTTTATATATTTCCAGAGAGATATTTCACAGAGAAGCACGAATGGGTTGATGAAGAAAATGGTAATGGAAAAGTAGGAATAACAGACTATGCACAGGTAAATAGTTGGTGTTTTATATAGTAGTTTGACTTGTCAGGTTATGAGTCCTTCTATTTAATACTGTTTAATATTTAAAACAGTCGTATGAATATCATATTGTCATGTAAGGCATATTTTACATTTTTAGTTAACCTGAGAATGCTTAATCTTTGTTTTTATATGAAGATAATGTGATACTTCTTTTTTTATCATACTTGCTGAAACATTGTGAGATACTAATACCAAAGTATTTTTAATGCAGTTTTTCTCATAAATTTATATTAGCTGTCAAAAATTACAAAAATTAATTTGTCTGAAGTACTGAAATATAGCTGTTTAATTGTGGGTAACAGATTCCCAGCTAGAGATTCGACTGCAACAATGCAATACATTATACACAAAATACCTAGTACAGTATTTTCACCCATGTTGTCTGCCCATAAACAAAATTAAGAGAAGATAGTTTTTATGATTTTTATGCCCCACCTATGTTAGTAGTAGGGGCATTATGTTTTCTGGTCTGTGCGTCCGTATGTTCGGCAGTCCGTCCTTCTGTCCAGCTTCAGGTTAAAGTTTTTGGTCAAGGTAGTTTTTGATGAAGTTGAAGTCTAATCAACTTGAAACTTAGTACACATGTTCCCTATGACATGATCTTTCTAAATTTAATGCCAAATTAGAGTTTTGACCCCAATTTCACAGTCCACTGAACATAGAAAATGATAGTGCGAGTGGGGCATCTGTGTACTAGGGACACATTCTTGTTCTAGTATGATTTCAAAATTACATGTAAGGTCAATCTGAGGTCAATGGTTTACTTATTTAAACATCAAGAGTCAATGTCACAAAAAATGTTGTTTACATCATAACAATGAGTAAAAGAAATTCTACTGCTTTTCAAGGTCAATGCCAAGCTAAGGGTTTTAAAGAGTATACTAGAATATAGCCATATCAACTATATATTGTTTGGAAGGTGTTGAATCATGTGCTGGTTTGCAATGTTCTTTTAACATCTTTATTGATATTAAACCATCTCTAGTGAAGAAAGTAAACTCTTTTATCGCTATTTTACAAATCTTTCCTTTGATCTTGCTGACTGATAATTTCCGTTCTCAGCGGAGTCGAGTGATATGAAAATTATCGCTAGAAACTAAGGGAACACATGCCGTTGTCAAGGAAATTAACAACGTCTTCATAGGTAAAATAGCAATAAACAGATTATCATTGGTCATCTCAACTCGATTGCTTTTCTCGCTTTCGCCGTACCGGCTCAAGCGAGAAAATCAATCTTGTTGAGATAACCAACGATAATCTATAAGTATAACGAGACATTTTGTATGATATGGGTCATGTGACAGTTGAGAAAGAACACTGTAGATATGAAGGTTAGGTGTTATCTGTATTTCAGGGATGAAAGTAAACTCTTGTTTAAAGAGACATTTTGTATGATATGGGTCATGTGACAGTTGAGAAAGAAAACTGTAGATATGAAGGTTAGGATGAAGGTTAGGTGTTATCTGGTGACAGTTGAGAAGAGAACACTGTAGATATGAAGGTTAGGATGAAGGTTAGGTGTTATCTGGTGACAGTTGAGAAGAGAACACTGTAGATATGATGGTTAGGATGAAGGTTAGGTGTTATCTGGTGACAGTTGAGAAGAGAAAACTGTAGATATGAAGGTTAGGATGAAGGTTAGGTGTTATCTGGTGACAGTTGAGAAGAGAACACTGTAGATATGAAGGTTAGGATGAAGGTTAGGTGTTATCTGGTGACAGTTGAGAAGAGAACACTGTAGATATGATGGTTAGGATGAAGGTTAGGTGTTATCTGGTGACAGTTGAGAAGAGAACACTGTAGATGTGATGGTTAGCATGAAGGTTAGGTGTTATCTGGTGACAGTTGAGAAGAGAACACTGTAGATATGAAGGTTAGGATGAAGGTTAGGTATTATCTGGTGACAGTTGAGAAGAGAACACTGTAGATATGATGGTTAGGATGAAGGTTAGGTGTTATCTGGTGACAGTTGAGAAGAGAACACTGTAGATATGAAGGTTAGGATGAAGGTTAGGTATTATCTGGTGACAGTTGAGAAGAGAACACTGTAGATATGATGGTTAGGATGAAGGTTAGGTGTTATCTGGTGACAGTTGAGAAGAGAACACTGTAGATATGATGGTTAGGATGAAGGTTAGGTGTTATCTGTATTTCAGGATGTTTGGTTTGTTTCAGGATAAACTAGGAGAAGTAGTATATGTACAGTTACCAGAAATTGGAACAGAAGTAGAATTGGATGGTAAATATAAAATTAAGGAGATGTGGTATGATTGCCAATGAGACAACTATTCACTGGAGTTCACATAATGAAGACTTTATGAAATACTTTTGATTTTATTGTTTATCATCTAACAGATTGTATTTTACCTTATTATGCAATTCACCAGTATGAGATTAAGTGGAGTCGATTATTGCTAACACAATTATAGGTTGAAGTAATTTGTTGACAATTTTAATTTTTTATTGCTTTGATTTAATCTCTTAAATACAAATTGATTAAAAAAAAATTCTTACCGTTCAACAACTAGAGGTACCCTCTATGTTCATTATGTAATGCTTAATACATTTGAAAGACTCTTTTGATGAAGGTGAGATTGATATAATCAGTTTGAAATTTGTCTTTCAAAATATTGCCAGTACCAATACAATAAAACATTATCTGTGGTATGGCTTTTATTAAACAAATCAAATATGCACCGTCAATACCAATGAAATGAAAAAGTGACGATTAGATTATCAGTTATTTGCTCATTACTTTTTACCATGTGTTGGTTTTTCTTCAGATCAACAGGGATGAAAATAGTCAAATTTGTGACAGAAACAATTTATCTGTAAAACTTGTCCTATCTTCATTGTAAACACTAACATCATTTAGGTTGTTAAATATATAAACTTGACTATAACTACAGGTGAAGCAGGTATATTAGAAAGTGTGAAAGCTGCTAGCGAAGTGTATACACCAGTGTCAGGGGAAGTTATAGAAGGAAACAATGCTGTAGTAGATAATCCTAAACTTATAAATGAATCTCCTTTTGATGAAGGTTAGTGTTCTTCTCTCACCTGTTCAAACTATACACCTTATCGCTATCCCCGCTTGACCCGAGAATCTGTCCCGCTCGAACTTTTGACGTCATACAACAATCACTTTTCTATTGTGGCGTCAGACATTTTCTATTATGACGTCAAAATTTTACGGGAACTTGTGTGATGTCCAGTAATGGCGGACAAATAGCGATAAGGTGTATTGTCATTTAATATTGTTATGAATATAAGGAGATGTATCAATGAGACAACAAACAAACAACACAAATACTTGAAATATAAACACAACAATTATCAATGAGATACATGTAAGGTTCTTTTCTTAAGGTACATGTAGCTAGGGTGTCTAAATCTTTGATTTTTCTTAAACTTCTGTAAAAGACCTCTGAGTCAATGTACTTTCAAATTTCAATATAAAAGCTCGGGGTCACTGACCTTATTTTTTCGTTAAATTCATTGAAATTAACGAAATCACAGTTATGTTATATGGGTAAAATAGAGGGAAACTTAAGTTTTCCTTAATGCAGAAACATTAAATGATAGAATTGGTAAATATTCAATGATTGAATTGCTTTTCTTGAAAAATCAAAAAAATATAAATTGTCCTATCAAATTCAGTTTAATTATCTGCTCTTGATTTTAAAAGGATTTTTTTCTGAAAATTTTAAATATACTTTACAACAGTTGAATTTTTGATAGTTTATCTTAAATTTCAAGTTTTAGATGTTTCTGTTGTTTATTAAATGATATTTGGTAAAATATTTTTAAACCAAAAGAGTATTTCATTAAACATGCCCATAAGAGATGCACAAAAAAAGACACCCAATCTACCTTAACATCAGATTTTTAGAATTCAATTTAGTTTATTTTGAATATGAATGCTGACAAAAGGGAATGTCAAACAGTAAAATGTGAATAAAAGGAGATCAGGGGGGGGGTATGTAAATTTTGCAGGAACCCAACAACACAAATAAGAAAAAAACAAAGAAGCAACATAGTCCAACAATCTACATGATTTGAGTATGAGTTATTTCCCTTTATTGTCATGTTGGAAATCAGCCAATTTTTCAAAAGTTATTTTCTGAACAAATTTAATTTGCATAAATCTTGTATAGTTTGTGACTGCAATCTAGAAAGAAACTTTTATCAGTCTTGCTTGTAGTGCACGTTTTATTTTGTTTAAACCAAATAAGAAATTAACCAACTTTCCCTTCAACATGGTGTCCAAGGGAAACTGCAACTTAAATTCCGTCATATTGAGAACTATCTCTACTTTAGTGATAGAACCTGATGAAGTCTAGTTTTATATAAATATTGAAGATATGAAAGTGTGCAGAGTTCTTGAAATCTTTTTTTCCTTGGTTGCCCTTGGAAGAAAATCTCTGGTCCATACTACCAGTATTATTTCTATTGCAAAATACCAAAATTGTGTCGGTCCTTTGCAAAGTTTGGTGGTCAAAACCTTCTGACCAACGCTTTTCAAGAATTCTTGAGTTTCCTGTTATTATTGGTCAGAAGAAACAGGAAATCAAAATACTTGTTATTATATTATTACAGGTTGGTTATTTAAAGTCAGACTAAGTCGACCAGAAGAATTAGAAGCTTTGATGAATGAATCTTCATACAAAAAATATTGTGAGACATTGGAATGATATTGTCAAATAGTAGAAACCATGTTATGTACAGATCTAAGGAAAAATTGTGCTTTATACTTTGTTACACATTGAATATTTTTATGAACCATTACTGGACGATTTATAATCTTGTTTATTTTGAAATATATGTACTTTCTGAATTATGAGATAGCACTGACAGTTCCAACATAACTTGCCTATCTTTATATCAATATTAACATCTTAATTTGAATATATTAAACGAATTATCCTTTTGAGGAACAAAGCTATAAAATAAAATTTAAATTTGGTTTAACCACTGACAACTCTGTATTGTTTCAATTTGTCCAAGTAAACATTTATTTTTGTAGGTATAAAATATGTGGTTTTATGAAAAATTGTATTTTTGAGGATATTTGATTTTCTTGTTTAAACTTGTGTACATGACCATAGGAAATTGTATTTTGTTGATTATTTAACTGTATGGTTAACTTTTGCTCACAAAGTCCATGAAAATTAATACCCCACTATTTATGATACATTGACAGGAGTCACTTTGGTTTTACATAAGCAAGGAAAATAATTTCTTCAAACCCCACGTTTCTGTTAAATGAAACTGTAAGTTTTACCCTTGTCTGTCTGTACGTATGTCCCAAAATTGGTTTCCGTTCTCTAACTTTAGTTTTCCTCAACCAAATGTTATTAAACTTATACACAATGCTTATTACCACAAGACACAGATCAAGTTTGAATTTTGGTGGCATCACTTTTACTGTTCTAGAGTTATGCCCCTTTACAAATGGAAAAATTGCTGATTTTATTGTTTTCGTTCTCTTAAGTTTGCCTCAACCAAATGTTATGAAACTTATACATAATGCTTATTACCAGAAAACTCAGATCAAATACAAATTAGGGTAGCATCACTTTTACCTTTCTTGAGTTATGTCCCTTTATAACATTGTAATGCAAGCGGGGGCATCATCTGTGTCCATGTGGACACATTCCCCATTTATTTTGATATGTTCCAAAATATATCAATGTGTAAAGCAATAATTTCTTTTCATTCCAGGAGGATAATTAATTTATTTTCTCATTGTTTTTTCTTGAATGAACCCTCTTCTACTCTCAAAGAGGTCACAATGATATAAATGAAAGTGTTGACCTCAAGTCGATACACCATACATCATGTGATGTAACTTTATAATATTTTTTATGTCTTGTATTTTTTTCTTCAATACACATCTAGAGGCTTACTTCATCTTTCTATAGGGATGTGAAAAATGGAAGTCAATTAAAAATACTTGGTACTGCAGGTTTCAGATAAGAGTCTGTATCTCATATGAATAAATCACTGTGTGAATTAGTGTACTTTATATAACTATATTATTTTGTTCATGGTTTATGGAATCATCATGATTTATATGGGCATTAGACAATTTTCAGTGGTATTTTGATAAAAAAAAAATGTATGCATTAAATTTTATAACATTAAAACTGAGCAATGGGACTATACAACATTTAGGATAGTTTTAGAAATGTCTTTGAGTTAGCTAAATCATCTGCAAGTTTTATTTAACAAAATGTGTCCTGCGGTACCTCATCCTATCATGATCTATCATATTTGATATTGGGTGGTTCGAATTTTAAGAATAACTTGATTTTGTTTTTATATTTAACCATGAAACTTGCTTAGAGTTTCTTTTGACCATAGTTGTCACTAGTCCATGTGATTGTAATTAAATGCATGAATTGTTACAAAGATGAGTGAAGAACTACAAAATATACAAGAAAGAAGTGCCATTGTTTTATTTGTCCAAATATATCTATAATATTTGCTGCTGCATTTAAACAACTACCAATAAATCTGTCATTGTTTTACATCTTTTGCATGTGTACCAATTCCATTTTTGTTATAGTGTGAGTATATGATATTAAAATAGAAGAATGTGTTGGAGAAATAAAGTGACATTTTTAAATATTTCTATTTTAGCTTTTCATCTTTTCATGACTTTCTACTGAAAGACTAAAATTTGCACTGTTATTCAAAATATTAAAAAAATATAAATAATACATTTGCGATCCCTTTCAAGTTTTATTGCCTATGAGAACTAGATACTCCCATCTCAGAACTGTTGAGTGACACTCGATCTCTACAACCACTATTGGAGTTATTGCGATGAAGCTTTTTAAAACTCGGATTATATTTCTGATTTGATTAGTAATTGCAGGAATGTTCCAAGACAATTGACTTTCAATTTTACATCTGTTTAATCCATCTGGTATCTAGTACAGCAACCATCCTAAAACATAGTTTGTTTTGCTTGCGATAAATGTAGTGGAATGGAAAATTGCAAGTCACCATTCTGAGGGAGGACCTTAAAGGCTAAAACTACTTGTATAAATTAAAGCTGTATTTCATATATATGGTTCACCTGACTTTGAACCTAACTTTATGGTTCATATATTAATGATTGTCAGTTTCTTAGTTGCCTAGAGATATCTGTCATCTATCTATGATCTTTATAATTATGTTTTATCCTGTCACCCGACCGTGGTCTCATTTTCAGGGTTCATCTCTCAATGTTTTAGTTTTCTTGATTAGTTCAATTTATTAGTTAAAAATCTTTGTGTGATCATCGTTAAGTGCACAAGCCCAATTAATGGTGTTCACCTGACTAAGACTTTATTTCATTGTTCATTCAGATGAATTAAGTTTTTAATGATTACAACAATATAGGTTAGTTCAAACATAAATAAAACACAGGTAATTTTAAATGAGATGCAGGTCGCAAGGTTGCCTCTAAACCCCTCAAATTCGCAGGTCCCATTTAAGGTAGCACAATACAAAGATTTTTTCACCCCCAATCAGACAACTTTAAACTGATGTAATTTCTTTCATCCAGCTTTAAATTTTATAAATGAGGTACCAAAAGAAAGATTAATCTTTCAAATGGTGATTATTTCATTATGACATGATTATTACATAATTAATTATTATGTAATTAGTTGCTATATTGTGATGTCCACACTTGAATGAAATTAGCTTCTTTGTTATTCATACCGTCCCAAAATATTTTATAGATTCTTGTGCAACACAGTTTGACCTCCAAAAGGGTGTCTCAGATTTTTCCTATTTTATTTCATTCTCTCATAAACCTTCAATGAAGTTTGCAACCTCAATTCATAAGAGATCACTAAATTAAATTGGGTATAAAATTTGTTCTATTGATGTTTTTGGAAATCTGAGACACTCTTTTGAAGATAACTGGTCAAGGAACAACGTGTGAAAATCAAGCATATAGAGGCACCCATCTAGGAGCTAATTTCATTTAAAACTACATTTTCATGACAAAATGAATGTGTCACAATTGAATAAATAAGGATTTTCCTACTTGTACCCCATTAACTTCAATATAATTCACACATATATCATGGGGATACTTCAGGATTGGCCTTTAATCATAAACCAATTAGGTTTTGACCAGTAAGAAAGCATTCCAATTCAGCATTTCTAAATATATAAAGAAAATGCACACCCTATGCATCAACAATCAGATCTGGCGGGAGATGTTATATCATTATTGACCTTGCTGTAAGTCAGTTGCTACTGATATGGTCAAAACTCCGCCCACCATGATAAACCTTTACTATTAATGATCTCAGAAGTTTAATTACACATTGCATTTACTTTTTTCAATATGGATTTTATTCTTTTAGTACATAAAATGGTATATTTTGATTTTTGCATTGTTACAAAAAGTAAGCTATGCATGTGTTCACAAAATGATCAGTTGGTCAGTCTTGAGGATCCTCATGGGGGATTTCAAGAATTATAATTGTATACAATGACAATATGGTGTTTTACACAAAGTAGTTTTTTTTCATTTTTTGCAGTTTGAAAATGAAGTATTTAATTTGTATTTTCTTTTAAAAAGAATTCATATTTAAACATTCTCCTCAAGAAATTCTAGTATAAACATCAGCAACATTTATTGTTGTACAATTATAATTGTTTAATATCTGTACATTTATATTTTGATTCCCTCTTTAGCTCCAAATAGTTGTTTTGTTTTTTCTCCTGACATCTCCAATACAGAAATGTATTTTTATTTGGAATTCATTATCTTTCATTTTTCCATAAATCCCTAATCCACCTCTTTTTCATAACTGTTATTTTTATTGCTGGTCAGTGGTTGTAAAGCTATCATATGATTCTATTGATTAACCACATAGTACTGCCCACATGTTCTTATCTTGTATCAGTCAGACACGTGCATTTGTTTATAAAACTAATTATCATCAAAACTCATTAACACTGCAAGATATGTAAATATTTTTTTCTTCTGTGGTTTTTGAATATTAAGAAGTATTAAAAACAGCCGAAAATGAAATTTTGATAAAATTTAGTTGCTTTTGTATTGTGCTACCTTAAACCAAGATCACCTGACCTTGGTCTCATTTTCATGGTTTGTTGATCAGTGTTAAGTTATTGTTGCGATTAGTTCAGTTTCTCATTTAGAATGAGTAATAGTTAAATTATCTTTGTCCTGTGGAATCATTGTGAGTTGTTTAAAGTCTATCTACTAGTACAGGGTTCACTTGACCTTGACCTAATTAAACAGATCATAAATTGAAGTAAAGTTTTGATAGTAAGTATAAAATAAGGAGATGAGACAACTATCCAATAGACTCCAAATGACATTTAAGCAATTAAAATCACCGTATAATCGGCTATAAACAGGACTGACATGACAAAATGTGAAAAAATTCAAACAACAAAACCAAAGTCCTGATTTATGACAAAGCAATAAACAAATAACAGACAGCAACCAACCACAGAATTACAGGCTCAGGATTAGGGACAAGAACATACAGAATGTGGTGGCTTTAACATGTATGTGAGCCCTCAACCCTTCCCCTAACCTGAGACAATGCCATAGTGTAAGAGCGCAACATAGAACAAATTGCAAAAATATGTCGGAAATGACATAACTCATCTTATAGACACAAAGCACAAAAAACAACTAGCTTAAAGACAAAAGACGCAAATTACCAGTCTAAGAGTACTAGCTAATTCAAAGCCAATAACAACTAATAGATAAATCATGTTCTCCCAGACTAGAGTATTAGTTGGAACACATCCACCTGATTTGTTAAGATGTCAGAAAGAGTTTGAGAAAAGCATGATCTTGTGCCATGCCAAAGTGTAAGTACATAATATCAACACAGATGTGGATCCAGGATTTTGAAAAAAGGGGTAACTGGTGAAAAGTCGATTAACAATAAATATAGCTTAATAAGGGTCCCCCAAATCTGGTTCTGAAACAAAGGATCATGGTTGAGTTTTTCAGTGACTAAGAAGTCGAGCTTTTGCCATCACTTGTTGTCATAAATTTTTTTAAAGCTCTGAAACTACTGAACTGATTTCAACCAAACTGTAGGTGAATTATCCTTATGGTATTGAGTAGAAATTTTGTGTTTTTTTATTTCAGTAAATCAACAAACATGGAAACCATGGTTTAAAATAGAACATATTGGTAATATGAAGTTTTTGGTTTATAACTGAAAAACTAGAGCAGTCTGAGCAAAACTGACATCCAGGTCAAGATCTTTAAGCACGAAAATTTTTAGATGAATTGGACAACACAATTTGGAGTCATTGCCTCTGAAATAATAATTTTTATCTTGAAAACTATTACAATGTATAGATAAAGAGAAATTGTCAATTAATTCCTTATTGGAGTTATTACCCTTCCATTTTTTTTTTTGGCAGAAACTATGATAGATAGAATCTTCAAAAAGCAAAAATTTTCAGCAAAGTAAGACCTACAAATAAGTCAAACATGTTATTGCATCTGAAAGACTATTTGTGTTAAAAAGCAGACATAGCGATCCTAGATTCCGTCAGCAGAGTCAACATTTAGGTTCAGAATTTTTAATACATCAATAACTTTGTCAAACCTTCATGGGAATTTAATGAAATTTTGACAGAAGCTTGTTTATGAGCAAATACAGTATCCAGGGCAACATTTTGAAAATGTTTATTTTTATTTTTCTGTATTTTACTGATAAAATTTTTTATGGACTTAGTTTTTTTACAATTAACATTCAGATTAAGTCTGAGGTTAAAGTTTGTTTCACATCAAATACTTTGTCCAACCTTCATAAAATTTTATGAAATCTGTGAGTCCATCCATCCGGACTTGTTAGCACTCTCACATGTACAATTCTTGGCCAATTTTTATAAAACTTGTATCATAGGTTTATATCAGCAATGTCTTGGAGGAGTTGAAAATCAGTGCTGATCAATTATTTTTAAAAGAGTTATGCCCCTTAGAAATATTAGTTACATGGAAAATTGCATCGATAGCGCTCTCATGTGTACAATTCTTGTCAGATTTTTATGAAACTTATATTGTAGGTTTATATCAACAATGTCTTGGACAAGTTCGAAAATCAGTATCGATCAATTATTTTAAAAAGAGTTAAGCCCCTTGGAGACATTAATTATATGAAAAATTGCATCATTAGCGCTCTTGTTTGTACAACTCTGGCCAGATTTTTATGAAACTTATATCATAGGTTTATATCAGCAATGTCTTAGACGAGTTCGAAAATCAGTGCCGATCAATTATTTTTAAAAGAGTTATGCCCCTTGGAAACTAACTATATGGAAAATTGCATCGTTAGTACTTTCATGTATACAATTCTTGCCAGATATTTATGAAACTTATATTGTAGGTTTTTATTAGTGATGTTTTAGATGAGTTGGAAAATCTGTGCTGATCAATTTTTTTAAAAAAGAGTTATACCCTTGGAAATGTTAATTATATGGAAAATTGCCTTGTGAACGCTCTCATGTGTACAATTCTTGCCAGATTTTTATGAAATTTATTTTATAGGTTTGTATCGTCAATGTCTTAGATGAGTTCGAAAATCTTTGTACCTCAATTATTTTTAAAAGAGTTATGCCCTTGGAAATATTAATTATATGGAAAATTGCATCTTTAGTGTACAATTCTTGCCAGAATTTTATGAAATTTATATCATAGGTTTATATCAGCAATTTCTTTGACACTTTTGAAAATAAGTGCTGATCAAATATTTTTAACCAGTTATGCCCCTTTGAAATATTAATTTTATTGGAAATCACATTGAATTTGCTCTGAAGCATTCCTTTCTCAAAGATATTTATCAACAGTTTCAAAGAACGAAAAAAAAAGGTTTATTTATTAGTTATTGCCCTTGATCCTTGGATAGAAAAAATATGTGCAATGCAGGGGACATTGGAACTCTGTTCTTTTATTAAATGTTAAACAGTAAGTTTTTTTTCAGAAAGTATGGTAGATCAACAGAAACTTTGAAAAAAAAGGTTCAGCACTGATGCTGGTAAAAATAAATAAATAAGCTATTTGACTGCACTCATAACCGCTAACACGACTTCCTTGAATCCACTTTAAAAAAGCAAAAACCTAACAAGAAACCCTCAGAATGATTAAAACTAAGTTTTGTTCTATTCTGCAGTGAATTAAGATATTTCAGAAACAATCTACGTATGGTAGACGACAAAATCTCACATCTGCCTTTTAAACTAAGAGAGCTGAAAGAGATTTTTGTCTTGCCTGCCCTAAATTTCATGGTTCAGTGACTGCTTTGAAAAAGTTTTAGATTCTTTGTCATGTGAATTTCTAACTTATTATGAGTAATAGGATAACTATATTTGGTATATGGGTTCCTTGCAACGTTTACATGTTCACCAGACAGGGTTCAGCAGACCTGACCTCATTGTCAAGGTTAAAGTTACATGATTAGGTTTATTTCTCAAACACTATAAGCAGTAGGTCAATTGTATGTGGAGTATGGAATGATTGTAAGGGTACGTGTCAGTCTGTCAGGTTTCATCTGACCTTGACCTCATTTTCATGGTTCAATGGTCAATGTTAAGTTGTATTTTTTTTGGTCTCTTTTTCAAATACTGTAAGCAATAGGTCAACTTTATTTGTATGAATTAATTGTAAGGTGTACATGTCTGTGTGGCAGACATCAGTTGTCTTTGACCTTATTTTCATGGTTCATTGGTCAATGTTAAGTTTCTGTAGTTTGGTCCTAATTTCACACACTATAGCTGAAAAATCAGCTATAATTGGAGTATGGAATGATTGTAAGGTTTATGTGTCTGTCTGGGAGGGTTCATCTGACCTTGACCTCATTTTCATGTTTCATTGGTCAATATTTAGTTTACCTGGTTACGTCTGTTTTATAGATATTATGAGCAATAGGTCAAGTTCTATATTTGGTGCATAGAAATATTGTGAGATGTACATGTCTACTTGACAGGTTTAATTTGATCTTGACCTCATTTTCATGGGTTATTGGTCAATGTTAAATCTTCCTGCTTAAGTCTGTTTCTTAATTACTATAAGCAATAGATTAACTATAATTAAAGCAAGGAATGATTGTATGATGTACATGTCTATCTGCTATGTATCATCTGACCTTGGCCTTTTCATGGTTCATTGGTCAATGTTAAGTGCTCACAGATTGGTTTATTTCTTTTATATTATAAGCAAAAGGTCAACTATATTTGTGTATGGAATGATTTTAAGGTGTATATGTGTCTCTTCTAGAGTTTATCTGACCTTAACCTTATTGTCATCGATCAGGGATTATGTTAAGTTTATGTGATAATTATAGTAAAACCTTTTATTTTTGTAGACTTTCAACATTAAATCAATTATGGTCAGTACAGCAGGCAAGACATTTCAGTGTGTGCACTCTTGCTAAGATGATGATGATGGATGGCTGGTTAAAGTCCAGCGGCAAATTATTATACATATTGAGGATGAGAACAATGTTATATGAATATATTAACCCTGCTTTGTACAAGACCGACACACTGAGCCGGATTTATAATGTGCTAGTTCACAAGGTAACAGTCCGCAGAAAGACGTGTCGCCTTATCTGGACACATTATTTTGACTCCGAGACGACCAGTCCTTGCTCTTAGTCTCGTGCTTAGCGGAGAAGCAGCAAATACCAATTTTAAAGTCTTTGGTTTGACCCGTCCTTTGTTTGAACCCACAACCTCCCGCACTTGAGGCAAACACGCTACCACTGAGGCGATCTCTTGTTATTAAAGAAATACAAATTATAAAATTTAACTTTTATTATATTTATTCTCAAAAACAAGTTATGTTCATTTATAAAATATATAACAATGTCAATATGGCAATCATCAATGAGAAAAGATAATAATTTGGTAAATATTGAAAAGGGTAGTAAAGGGTTTTTTTTGTGCAACATCTTTTCCTATTTCACTTAACATGCAAGAGGATCCTTATTCAACTTCTTAATTTTATGCAATATATTCATTTGCTTTATGAAAGGGATAAAATTATTTCTCATTTACCATTTATAAACAATTTTAGTTTCAATCCTTCTTAAACATATTTTTTTCTTTTCACAATCTAAATTGTATAAAAACAATCACAACAGTTGTGTTCTAAAAATTCTAGACAATATCTTAATATTGTTACAAACAATTTAACTTTAAATTCAGAATAAACACAAAAATGAGACTAAGTTCACATTTCTTATTTAAATATGTATGTTTCATCAAGCATATATTTGACTTCCATTGATAAATTCACACTTCAGTCAATATATTTTAAAGTTTGCATTAATAAATGTGCGTCACAATTTCTATATTCACAGTGCCTGACGAAGCAACATAATATTTTATGTTAAGTTGTCTACCTGCAATAACTTGAAAGAGGTTATTGATGGGGTAAAAAAACTAGAGGCTCTAAAGAGCCTGTGTCGCTCACCTTGGTCTATGTGCATATTAAACAATGGACACAGATGGATTCATGACAAAATTGTGTTTTGGTGATGGTGATGTGTTTGTAGATCTTACTTTACTGAACATTCTTGCTCCTTACTATTATCTCTATCTATAATGAACTTGGCCCAGTAGTTACAGTGGAAAATATTTTGTAAAAATTTACAAAAATTTACAAAATTTATGAAAATTGTAAAAAATTGACTATAAAGGGCAATAACTCCTTAAGGGGTCAATTGACAATTTTGGTCATGTTGACTTATTTGTAGATCTAACTTTGCTGTACATTATTGCTGTTTACAGTTTATCTCTATCTATAATAATATTCAAGATAATAACCAAAAGCTGCAAAATTTTCTTAAAATTACCAATTCAGGGGCAGCAACCCAACAACATGTTGCCTGATTGGTCTGAAAATTTCAGGGCAGATAGATCTTGACCTAATGAACAATTTTATACCATCAGATTTGCTCTAAATGCTTTGGTTTCAGAGATTTGAGCCAAAAACTGCATTTTACCCTATGTATTATTTTTTTGCCATGTCGGCCATCTTGGTTTGCGGGCAGGGTCATCGGACACATTTTTTAAACTAGATACCCTAATGATGATTGTGGACAATTTTGGTTAAATTTGTCTTAGTAGTTTCAGAGGAGAAGATTTTTGTAAAAGATTACAAAAATTTACGAAAAATGTTTAAAAATTGACTATAAAGGGCAATAACTCCTTAAGGGGTCAATTGACAATTTTGGTCATGTTGACTTATTTGTAGATCATACTTTGCTGAACATTATTGCTGTTTACAGTTTATCTCTATCTATAATAATATTCAAGATAATAACCAAAAACGGCAAAATTTCCTTAAAATTACCAATTCAGGGGCAGCAACCCAACAACGGGTTGTCCGATTCATCTGAAAATTTCAGGGCAGATAGATCTTGACCTGATAAACAATTTTACCCCTGTCAGATTTGCTCTAAATGCTTTGGTTTCAGAGATATAAGCCAAAATCTACATTTTACCCCTATGTTCTATTTTTAGCCATGGCGGCCATCTTGGTTGGTAAGCGGGGTCATCGGACACATTTTTTAAACTAGATACCCCAATGATGATTGTGGCCAAGTTTGGTCAAATTTGGCCCAGTAGTTTTAGAGGAGAAGATTTTTGAAAAAGTTTACGGACGACGGACGCAGGACGACGGACGCAGGACGACGGACGACGGACGCAAAGTGATGAGAAAAGCTCACTTGACCTTTCAGGTCAGGTGAGCTAAAAAAAGAGAATAATGAACTTAAAGTTGGGTTTAGACTATTATTTCACAATTTATAAGTATTAGCATTCACATTTGAAGAATATTTGACAGTCTTAAAAATATGATTAAAACAATTACATGTTAACAGTAAAAATGTAAATAGCAATATCATATATAATCCTTTGATAAAACATTAAATACATAAAATTAAAAAAAAAATAAACACATACTATCAACAATTCTCGACTATCAGTTAACATTTTAATGAATGAATGGTAATTTCCTGTGTGTAGTTTGGACTGGTACCTACATTTTTTCCTTAAGTCTATAGGGGCTTTGTAGTCACAGAAATATATACACAAAAAAAAAAAAATTTACCCAATATTACCAGTTATATCATGAATTTTTAAAGAAATAACATGTCTTCCAAAAAGACATAAGTTTACATGGAAGATTAACTGTACAATAGTATTGCTTTATAATTATGTTTTGGACAATGGCTCTAAATTCATCCAAACTATTGCTGATGATTTGAACAATCAGGGGCAGATCCAGGATTTTTGAAAAGGGGAGGCATAATTTGCAATAACAGAATTTTTGAATGATTTTTGCCAAATTATTTTTCAATCAAACGATGGATATATTTATGAAAAATAAAAATTGGTGTATTTTTCAAAATTATATATATTAATCTTGATTTCTCTCATCATTCAACACATAACATTTACTCATATACAGAAGATTCATATTATTCACAGCACCAAATTTCGATAACATTATAAATTGCACAACTCTGAACTAAATTTTTCTATCAGTAATAATTTACAAATTGAAAGTTTGTAAATTTATACCAGACAAGCAGTTCAAATGTCAAAACGAAAACAAACATAAAAAATAGATTAACAGCAATATTGACTTTTTTTGGTCCCTTGTATATAGCAATGATATGTATATATATGTACCAGAACTCTGAAAATGCCCTTAATTAAACATACTCTCTTTTTAACAGATATCACTATTGGAAAATAAATTCATAAGAACACAAGATACACAAACATTTCAGTATAGAAAAATAGGTCTTTATCTGAAAAAATTAAAACCAAAAGTGCTGAGTTATCATTAATTTTACAATTGCTGATCAAATCATAATAGAAAATACCTTTTTTTACAGTATATAATGATATTTTTACCGTAAGTACATAGTACTTAAAATATTTTATGCAGAGGTCAGTATGTGTAGATAGTATTATGAATAATATTGACTGAAATTGTTTTCTATATTTTACTTACAGCAAAAAAAGGCAAATATTACTCAATATAATATTTCGAGGCAGAATGAAAAATAAGAAAATATTGCATCTGAGTCATTTTGAGACAGCACTGGGATTCTAACATCAAGGAATTCATTTTGTCTTTTAAATTCTTGAAATTATAAAAGTCAACATATGATATATGTAATAAAACAAGTATGATTCCCATGTGAAGGACACATGTTTCTGGAATAACCGTCATCAAGTAAACTTGAGACCCAAAAGTTTGGAAAGCAATGAATATAAAACATTTGAGAGATCAAATTAATATAAAATACATAGCATTAAGGTGTCAGACCACCACTTCAAAACCCCTTTATAATCAACCAAATTTTTCAATTTCACAGTTTTCTAAATATTTTACATTGAAACTAGGTATATTCTGAATTGTACATGTATGGCCTGTCTATATGCCATGTGTAAAGTCTTGTTCAGAAGACAACTGCTAATTTGCAACTGAATGGTATAGATAAAACCTATACTTAACTCATATAGTTTGAATTATGTAAGTTTGGTAGACATTAATCTTTGTTTTATCAAGTTTCTATGACAACTAGTTTAAACAATTTTAGGTTAACAAAATCTTTCAGTTTTTATCACAGAAGCTGAGTTTATTTACAAATCTACCACTTCTTGATTGTCAGGCTTGGAAAGAATATCTTTTGAATAACTTTCCAATAACAGAATAAAAACAAACAAACAAACAAAACTTAAAAAAAAAACAAAAATAATAACAATTCAATCTTTCAATTACAGAATTTTATCTCAATTTTAATTGACAAAAATACAAAATGATTTAAAACACGATGAATAACGAAATAATAAATGAAAGACAATCCATGGAGTAATAAATTAACCTTGTCAACTATTTACATTGTTCCAACAGTATAATGGAAGACAGTATGATAACTTAGATCAACATCACTGTTTAAATGTCCAGAGATCCTTTTGTTGGTTTAACACCATATAAAACTCCCCATCTTTGGTCACCCTGTGATGTTCTCACTAGCTTGTCATTCCATCCTTGTACCAGGTATTCATAATCTTCCAATGAAAATTCCTGTAAAATTCAATAATTGCATTTATTACAGAAGTTTGGCAGCATGAAAGTTTTAACAGTGGTAGGTTTAATAGATATAAGAAGATGTGGTACGAGTTCCAATGAGACAACTCTCCATCCAATGTTCACCATATTTAGAAGATGAGACTAATGGCCCCCAGTGACTTTTATAGTTTTGCTGCTACTATAAGTCAAACTTCACCCGGAATACCTTGAACAAGGTAAACTCGCAGGTGGATTTCCTGCAGATGATTGGAGCCTTGTGTGAGTGTTTTAATACAAAAAAAAGTGAACAACTGGTATCTAATTTGTCATAATTTTTTGTATAATAACATTCAAATATGGCTAGTATTGTTTACATGAAATTTTTCGCAGAAGCTTGCACCCCTGAAGGTAATGGAGGCATAGCTAAAGACTCAGTGATAGCAAAAGATAACAAACATGCATAACCGATCACCGACACAAAAGCTGGACTACGTTTTAAGTGAATAAACTAGAACATTTAAATTTACTCAGTAATTTACGTGACCAATGTTTTGAATTTGATAATAAAGTAAAATATTAGCAGTTAAGAATCAGTATTATTAAAATCATGGCAAATCTTCATTAACCATAACAGTCATATATATGCAGATGACAACACAAATAGTCTATGTCCAAAATGGAAAAGTTAGAGGGATGAAAGTACCTTTTCCTGGAATTTGGGATTGAGCCTTGATATTTGCAGGAATTCTGGAATAGCCAGTTAAATCGTCAGGAATTCAGGAATTTGGGATTGAATTCTATCTTGATGCGGTAACGGACACATTATTTTCATTGGAACTTGGGATTTGGCATTTATTTTCTCTGGAATTGGGGATGAGATCCCTTTCTTATAACCCCTCCTCTCCCCCTCCCCCAGGTAACTTTTATATAACGTTGGTTTTACCTTTACAAAATCATCCTTTATTGTTTCAAATTTGACCAGTTCTTTCTTCAGTGATTCTACGAACAGATCTGTACTGTCGTCTGCTTTAACTTGGGTAAATCCAACATCTTCTAATACCTAAAAAAAAGCATTCAAAATAAAAATTGAGTAAGATAGTTTAACAACAGCAGCTTCTTATAGTAACGTTTTAAGATAGTGTTATATTGACAAAAATTGTAACCTAACAAAATTAGTTTGCACTTTTTAACTCTAATCCAATTCATCATCTTGTCAGTCCATGTTTTTTCATTCAGATATTTTAATTGTTGAACTTTAATGAACAAAATTACCTTTTGACCGATGTATTCAGATGTGCGCTGCTAAACTTGTACAATCAATGGAATTTGAATGAACCTTTTTTAAATTTTTAATTGTGTAAGCTGTGATTAAAACTAAAATTTTTAATCTCACTTGTCGCCTTGTGCATTTTATATCAAGTAGAGGTCATTCCACTTTTTAATGTTTCCTAGAATTGTTGGGCCATCTCTCCATACGAAAATGTCACAATTCTGGACTGTACTATGGCTATGTCTTAAATTTATACCCCATTGACCTTATGACTTCAAAAAAGCATCAATCAGAATTGGTCTGTAATCTTAAGTTATTTCTCTTTTTTTTCTTACATTGTATTTTTAATGACAAACAGAAATCCCTGTAGACAACACATATGTCAGTTTTGAAAATGCATGAAATAACTGCTGTGGGACAGTTAGCAAAAAAAAACAATCAATTAATATAAAAAACAAAAAGTGCTGAATTATTACAGGACAGCATTACCTTTCCATACGATTTTGGTGATAAGAGATTATATCCTCGCTGTTTGACATAAGCCTTGAAAGCCTCAGTGTGTTCACCCTCACTACAACAGTAGTCAGATATAAAAATAATTCCTCCAGGTTTTAGCACTTTCTGAAATTGGATAAAGTATGGATAGAAATATATTCAGTTGTGAAGATCATCATTTAACTCCAATTTGTACTCAGTTTATTATGATCATATATCTTATTCAAATAAATCAAAGATATTTTAAGATAGAATATTTAATATGTAGTTGTGCAAAGATTTTTTGTTGTTTACAGAATAGTTTTTGTATACAGCTAATGTCCATATTTTTTTAGTCATACATTGAAATAACTTTGTAAACAATAGAATTTTATAAAATGCACGAAATGGGAGATAACTGTTGATTTTTAGAAAGATTTAACTGCTTCCACTTTTCATAGTAATTGTCTATGCATTAAATTTTGGTTGGATTTTATAAATGGGTTTCAAATTTTAAATGTTGACATTGTTGTATAACTCAGTTTTAAAGATTTAGTTTTTTAATTGCATCTGAATGTCAAAATAAAACATTTTTTTTAAATGAAATCTTTTTTTGAAAGATTATATATCACACCTATAGAAAAATAAACTTTTAAAGATATGTCAGTATGATTGTTTATCAGATACAACTGGGACTAATACATCAATTGGTCCCATGATACAAGCATTTGAAAAATTTACACTTTTAGCAGAATAAGAGGTCTCTGGATTTTTCATATTTGAAAAGTATATCAAAAATAAAATGAACTTCAAAATGTTTAGATACCAGAGGTATATTTGAGATGTGAGTTTTTCAAAAAATTTTGATAAATATAGGATTTCTAGGCATATGCATATTCTTGGAAAAAGCCAGATGGAGCTCAGAAACATGATGGAAAATTAAAAACACAAAAAGCAAACATTCACGACTTATAGAAATACTTACATAGAGTCTTTTGAATAGACCTGGTTTATCGTTTATATGTAAAATGGTATCCCTGCTGTAAACAACATCAAATGAATGGGGTGGGTATTCTCTCTTTGTAGCATCTGCAACTTCAAATTCCACTTGCTATTAAAAAAATATATATCAATAATACGTAGTATTAGCTTTAATTTCAGATAATAATTTGTTGTCTAATTGAAATTAGCTGAGTGTCAAATCCGAAATTATTCTAACTTTGAGATTAAAAATATCCTGAACTGTCATTATTAATACTTTTTAAAATCAAATCAGCAACTGCAACAAAGCAGCAGTGATGTGAAAGTATAAAATTGAATTTTCCCATCATAACTGATCACTAATGATTTCTTGACAAATGTTTTATTGGAACAGCTGTTACTAAAGACAAAAAACTCTTTATTTTATCTTTTCTTTATAATTACATTTTTAAGATATAAAAAGAAAACTACAGTCTTGATAAAGTATTCATATAACTTCAAACTTTTTTTGTTAATTGTTAATTCATCCCAAATCTTGCTTTAGACAAAAACAAATTTGTTTAAAGGGAGTTAATTTCTATTCATAGTTTATTCCTGTATGATTCTTTTGTCGATGAAGAATTATGAAAAAGTCTTACATTTAAAAGTTGCAGAAAGGGAGACAATTCAAAATTCAACAGTATTTAAAGTAATGTGATATCTGAAGATTATTTCTTTTGCTTACTCTTATAAGGAGATTTATAAAAAATATTTACCCGTGTTCCACACTGCATTTACAATTTTGGCAAGATAAATAATAAAGAAATACATTTAAATAGCCGGTACATAAAAAACTGTTATAGTTATCCCTTAATTCAGCAGCTTTGAAAAAATAAGCAGCAAGCAAAACAAACGAAATTAGTTTTCAGAACGACTTATTCCCTGAGACAGTTAATTGTGTGTGTGCTAATCCACATTGGCATAAGTATATATATATATAGCAATCATAGTTTTTTCCTTAATATGACATTAAGTAGGAAAACGCAGTTTTCAAATACACTACCTCAACAGAAACTCCAACCTCCTCTCGTCTTTTCAAAGCCAAGTTAATCATGTTTGAAGACAGATCTATTCCAACTACTTTTACACCAAAATCTTTAGCCATATAGAATGCACTACCACCAATCCCACATCCAACATCTAAAACTTTCTGTCCAGGTTTAAGATTTAGTCTAGATACAAATTCCTGAAATAATATAATGCAAATTACTAATTCTGACTATTAAGATGGGTCAAGATAAAAAGTTAAAGCTGCCGTAGTAAGATACAATTAGAAAAATCCCCATAAGTCCTTAAAAAAAAAATGCTATTTCTTCTTGACAAATACTAATGCATTTCAACCAAATCCTTGTAACTGGTCAGTTGAAAAATGAGTAGGTACCATTTGGGGGCTTGCCACAAAAACATATTATTTCTAAACAAAATCGAAAAGTTAAAGTGAAAACAATTCCTTTTTATGACTTTTTCATGTGCGTTCTATACATTTCTTCTCTGGAGGTATGTTTAGATACATAATTTTGTTTATTCTCAGAAGAACTTCAATGAGTTCCTGTGTGTGATCCTTAATGTACAAAAATCTTATAAAAACCTGAAATACAGCCCAATTAGGTAATGTTCACCTTAAGTGAAGATCCTTGAATCAAAATGAAATGCAATATTAAAGTTATTTTACCCTTTCCTCCATAATGAGGACTTTTAATGTGTCCCCTCTCCTCCATAAAGACACCTTTTGAAGCCCTCATGTGATATCCAGTTGAAAGTTTTGCCATTCAAAAATCTGCATCATTGACTTCATCAAAGTTGAATCCAATGTTAAAAAAGTACTTATCGGGATGTTAGATATAAATTTCCTTGATGAAATAATTTTCTTGCCATGCATTATTATTTAAAACATGATGATTTACAAAAAAAGTTGCTGTAACAATTTCTATTGAAGTTTTTATTTCATTAGATAAAGCTTATTTTCAACATTTGAAAAAAAAACTTTGCAAAATATGTTTATAAAAAATAATTCTCCATAAAAATAGTTTTAAAAGGGCAATAACTCCAATAAGCAGTCAATGGACAATTTTGATCATGGGGCTATATTGTAGATCTTGTATTGCTGATTAAGGTCAAGTAACAGTAAATAGGCTAGTGTCACAGATTTTGGTAAAATTTTGCATACAACTTTAGCTCGTTGAATTATATCTGAAAATTGAAAAAAATAATGCCTTTATTTCTTTTATTTTCTGAAATATTACTGATTGAATTCTTTCAAAATAGGTGAACATTTGTATAGAAAGCACAAAATCAGCAAAAAACGTTCATATAATTGTTAAAATCATCAAATCATCAAATCTCCAATTTCGAACACATAGATTTTTCTTTTGTTGATACATAAAATTCCGTTTTAATGACATAAATAATCACATGGTCACCGACTTCATTGGTAGTGAAAAATGTCAAATATCGACATTTTACTGTCTACAATGCGATGCTATTACATTTGTACCTTTATTTTGACATTATGTGGTATTTTTTTCACCTAGTACAACACTTTGAATGATGAATACTGTTAAAACGAAGTTGGTGACCCTACTATTATTTTACATGATTAAAACGGAAATTTGTGTACCAACAACATATAGTTTTTTGGAAAATCTATGTATTAAAAATTGGAAATTTGATGATTTTAAGACAAATTTTAGAACTTTTTTTAACAATTTTATGTGCTTTCTATACAAATGTTCACCTTTTTTGAAAGAATTTAATCACTAATATTTCAGAAATTAAAAGAGATAAATGCATTATTTTTTCGATTTTCAGTTAAAGTTCAACGAGCCAAAGTAGTATGCAAAATTTAAAGAAAATCTGAGACATAGCCCATTTACTGTAACTTGACCTTAAAGTTACTTTTTATGGTTTCAAAATAAAATTTGTGGTATAATTGTCAATGAGACCACTATCAACCAGAGACCATATGACATGGATGTAAGCAACTATAGGTCAGTCTTCTGTGGATACATTTATAAATTCATAGAACAAAAGATATTTGTAAAACTTCAACTTTTTCTATATTAAACATATTCTAACCTTTGTTGTTTCATATCCACCAGTACTTATATAAGTATGTCCAAAAATTCTTTCATATCTTAACACGCCATTCATAGAGTATTGTTGATTATCTAGAAATTCTCTGAATGTGACAAAGCCGTGTGTATCTTCTTGTCGTTTAACTTTCTGTACTAACCATACTACCTGGTTATTGTTCTTTTTGTGCTGTAATAAAAGTAGACATAGAGTAAACATCAATAACACAGAAACCCAACAACAGAAATTAAACAAATCAGACATCTATTGTTTTCTATGCTGTCTTTCATAATGGACAAGTGTCCGCAATGCATAGAAAGAGGGTAAATTTCCCTTGAAAATGATATAATTTAGATTTATCAGCATATTAGAAAAATCTTGCAACAGTTTATTCCATGTTGGACCTAAAAATTAGAAACTTTTGGCCAAAAGAGTATTTTGTAAGATTGTCCATACTATGCTTTTCAGGATAACTCAGTTGTTCCTTTGCTGGATAATGCTTTAACATTACCTCAGAACCTTACATTGACACTCTAAAAGATAAAACAACCTGAGGGGAATGACACAGGTGTATATATTTCTCCCATCATGCAAGTTAGCATACAAAATACTCCGCCAAATTTCCACTTTTTAACCAATTTTTTACTCCTTTCCCAGTTCTGAAAATCTTCTAAACAAAATGTTTATGTCTTTGAATTATCTTTCCCTTAAGAAAAGTATTGATGCTAATAAAGATTTTGGACACTAGATTAAAGTTAACTTATTCAGTTAGCAATTAGCGATTAGTGATTAATTATATTCAGCCTTGCAGACAGTTTATTCCTGGATACTCACTTTAACATAACAAATAAGAGGTTTCATGCAGACCAGATTATTTCCCCCTTGATATACTCACTTTTACATAACTAGTAAGAGGTTTCCTGAAGACCAAATCAAGCCCATACACCTTCCCTTCTTCTTCTGATGGCATTGTGACTGAATTAAAGATGGCTTCATATAAAGCTGGATCACGATAATTTGTTGGGTTTTGATCTCTTGGTTTGTCACCTGTAATTTAGATCAAAAAGGTCAACTTATTTTTTATTAAATCCATTTGTATTTGATTAAATTAACAATTCACAAGGCTTGTTTTTTTTTTAACACAACGAAATTTAAACAATTTGTAACAATTTGTAACACAAGCATTTTTAGAATCAAGCATAATATCATTACTTACAATTTATCGTACCTCTCTCTATATATATATACTACTATGTATTTTTCTAATATTGAGAAAGAATTGTTAATAAGGAAAGGGAAATAACCCTTGTATTTGATTAAAATTGTAAATAAATTTCCTGAATTATCAAGTTGTTATAATTCTCTTACTATGATTCCTCCATTAAAGGCGAAAGAATCTGAGACTGTGAGGGCTTGAATAATTCAAGTAACATTATAAAAATTATTTCTCTATGATGACCTTTTAAAACTTTTTTAACATGTAAAACAAAAAAGAATTCTATGTGTTTCCTAAAGTATATATAGTACCTGATTGATGAAAACAAGATTCTCTACAGAAGAAATAACCATCTTCTCTTAACCAGGTCAGTGATTTTCTTAATAGGTCTTGTATCTCTTCATCTTCCAAATACATCAGAAGCCAGTTAGAAAACACCAGATCAGTACTGAAAATATTATCAGTATTATCAATTAAAATTATATTTTATTTTTTAGTTTTCTATGTTGTGTTTTTTGTACTGTTGTTTATTTTTTTGTCGTTATTTGTTTGCCATGGCATTCTCAGTTTGTTTTCGACTTATGAGTTTGAACATCCCTCTTGTTTCTAATTCGCTTCTCTTTTATCTTAAATTCTAATTGGCTATTCAAAGTTGTAATGAAATACAGAGAGTTACCTCCCCCAAGGGTGACTGGGGAATAGAAATATGGTCACCATTGGTCTTCCTTCGACCGGCGGTAAAACCTTCGCTAAAGGGGGGGCGTCCGTTTGGCTGTGTGGGATGTACAAGTTCGCAGTCACGTCCGGTCAGAATGGGGATGTTAAATCTGATGCCTCGTGTGAAGAGAGTGCCACGTTCTTTGCACGTTAAGAACCCTTGCAACAACTCTTTGAGGGATCCGTAGGTGGCCTGTTGCAAGGCTAAATTTCTGTCCTCATCCAATATACCCTCATTTTCCCGTGGCAGTCCAAATTTCTCCGACCTTCATCCTGGACGCCCTCTATTACAGGACCTACCTATTGTATTTATTGTTAACTTGTTCTCGTCCTGAACATGCATGAAATATTTGCCACTGGACGTTAAGCAACCAACAATCAATCAATCAGAGAGTTACCTACAATTATAATGACAATGTTGTAAAAGTTACTTCCCAATGAACTGCTGTTATTGTTATATAATTTAATTTTGGATGTAACACGTCTTCTGATTGGCTGAAAGTATTTTGTCTATCAGCTCATAGACATAATTTTGTTTTGTAACCTTGACGCCATCATTTTTTATGATTTACTCCTTAAAAATGGAATTTAGAATCAAATTATTAGGAATGGCTGTAATATTTTTTCTGTCTATTCGAAATGACCTCCAAAATGGGGTGCACACTTTTAAATAACTCGCTACACAGGGCTTTTCAGTGTGCACCACATTTTTTATTTTAGTGTTATTTTTTCATAGACAGAAAAAATATTACAGTCATTCCTTAAATATACCTGCTGTTATTGTTATATACACCTGCTGTTATTGTTATATATACCTGCTGTTATTGTTACATATACCTGCTGTTATTGTTATATATACCTGCTGTTATTGGTATATATACCTGATGTTATTGTTACATATACCTGCTGTTATTGTTATACATACCTTTGCTCCAGAAGTTGTAGTTTTGTGACATCAGAACACATGTAATCTATGTTGTTAAATTTACAGTTGTTTTCCATGTTTTTATTGAGAAATTTCTGCATAAAGTCAACAGCTATAACTGATTTACTCTTCTCAGCAAATATTGCTGAGTATCTCCTAAAAGTTTTAAGATAAGAAATTTCATTATGTATTTAAGGATTTGTTGCTATTACTTATAAATACCAATGATAGAAAGGAGATGTGGGGTATATGTCAATGAAACAGCAACCTAACATAACAAAAAGACAAAAAGACATCAAAAACCTTTCAATATTAATTTCAGTCCTTTCTAAATTCTAGCTAGTCTATGTATCTCTTAGGAGGAGTTACGCTAACAAGAGACCTTTATCACACATTGCAATATTGAAGAAAGTAAGTTAAATGCACATTCTCAGGTGTTCTATAACTGTATAAGTTTCATCAATATCTGTCTTGCTGCTTAGGAGTTTTGCTTACCACAGACCATTTAAAAAATATTGCAATACTGAAGTAAGTAAGTTCAATTATCTCCCTTTTACATGTTGGACCAGGATTATATTCCTGTATGCACATCCTCATGAAAAGTTTCATCAACACCCGTCTAGCAGTTTAGAAAGAGTTGTGGTTATAAGAGAATCCATTCAATTTATAACCACATTACAAAATTGAAATAAGTAAGTTTGATAACTAATCCCTTTAAAGGGGCATTAGCTTTAGATTTAGACAAATGAATTGGGAATGTGGCAGATGATGCTCCCGCTTGCATATACAATGTAACGTTATAAAGGGACATAACTCAAGAACAGTAAAAGTGACGCTACCCAAATTTGTACTTGATCTGAGTTTTGTGGTAATAAGTATTGTGTATAAGTTTCATTACATTTGGTTGAGGCAAACTAAGTTAGAGAACGGAAGCAAAAAATTCAGCAATTTTCCATTTGTAAAGGGGCATAACTCTAAAATGTTAAAATTCATGCCACCAAAAGTCAAATTTCATCTGTGTTTTGTGGTAATAAGCATTGTGTATAAGATATATAACATTTGATTGAGGCAAACTCAAGTTAGAGAATAGAAATTAAAAACTCAGAAATTTTTCCTTTTGTAAAGGGGCATAACTCTAGAAAGGTAAAAGTGATGTCACCAAAATTCAAACTTGATCTGTGTTCTGTGGTAATAAGCATTGTGTATAAGTTTTAAAAACATTTGGTTGAGTCAAACTAAAGTTAGAGAACAGAAACCAATTTAGGGACTTACAGATGGACATACAGATGGATAAGGGTAAAACTACGGCAGGGGCATAAAAATTCCGAAAAGACTGAGAATTGTCTATAAAAAAAACCAAACATATGGTAATATAAAATGAAAAAAATAGGAAAAAAGTTTAAACAACTCCTCAATGGGAAGTGCACAACTTCAATAGGTTGAAGTTTCAGAATTCTAGGTTAAAAACTATAGGATTTGATTAATTTTTTGCTTAAGGTTATCTTCATGAAATAATTAAATCATATAACTTAAGTGCCCTAAAAGTCTGAAAAATATAAGTTAATTAAAAAAAAAAAATCTTGGGTTTGAATTAGTCCATTTATCTGAAACTCTTTGCCATGTCAGCCTCAGAATAAAATTCTAACTTCAAAACCTTTCTTATTATGGAATCATAAACATCTGTCCTGACATTTATTGAAATATACACACCCAATGCCAGCCCCCAGTTCCACTACATCTTTACTTTTTAAATTTGGTAAATATGAAAGAATTTCTGGTTCTTCATCTTTACACAGATCTCTGGCTGAGGAATCCAGCATCATTTCCTCTAATGTTGCATCCTGGGAATGCTCCTCCCAGTATTTTGTCATAGCATTTCTTGCTGAAAGTAGAAATATAAAAATATGGATGTCTTTTGGTTATTTTTATTGTTGGATTGTTGTCTCATTGAAATATAACCATCTTCTTTTATTCAAATATCAAAAGCTGTTTTATTTATATGACAATATGTTGGGTTTTTGTATTGTTAATAAAATTTATTTATTTTCTTACATTTACCATTATAACCTAATAAGGTTATACATTTGTATTGAAGGATCCAAGGTGCCTGATGGCAGAGTAATATAAGTATTTCTTCTAGAGTAGCCTGTTAACACTGAGGTTGTGAGTTTGAACCTGGCATGTGTCAGGCACGTGGCAGATGTGTTCAACTCCAATCAAAATTGACTAGGATTGCCTGCCAAAAATCAATGAACAGCTTATTATTTAATCATTATGGTTCTATGCAGGCACTCTGGCTTCCTCCACCAATAAAAACTGGCCACTAGTGCTAAAAATGGCATTAAACACCAATCAATCCATGATATTTATACTGTGATTTCAATGACTTCACTTTTTTCTATATTTAGAAATATTTAGCCCCAATGACTCATGCACTTAGATTATTAAAATTCACCATTGTACTCAGTTAAAAAACACCAAAAGTGTTAAAAGTATTAATATAAGGAACAAATAGTCATCATGGATGATCTGTCCTCAAATTTGTTCTATTTAATGCTACCTTATACATTTTACTTCAAATCAGATTTAATTTTATAGAAACCATTTCCATGACCAGATATAAAATGTGTAAAATTTTGATTATGTCACTGTATAAACATGATACTGAATATTGATGGTATAATAATAATTTTGCATAACTGTCAGTCAATACACAATTTTGATTTCCATGTTTATATTTAAATGGGACAGGGTTCAAACTAGAAGTTGTGACATTAATCAACATCATTATCAATCCAGGAATTTTTAACAAATCTTTGTTATGCAAACATCTGTGTAGATGATTATCATTCACAAGTTTATTAAGAATTTCCAAGAGATACAAACATCACAGGAAACTGTGATGTTAAATTGCAAAATTTTTTGAATTTGAAAAAATATAATTTTTATTGGTATTTGTCTTACTGCATATATGACAAGAGTTTCATATTTTTTCTTCTATAATAATTATTGAGAGTCTTGAAAATAATCAAAATTAATCAAAACTAAACATTTTGTTACATTTATTGGATGTGATTGTTTACTCCTTTCCTATAGACTGGACAGATCACACCAGAGTTTTAAAAAAAATCATATTTTTTCAATCTTTCACTAATAATTGTTTCCAGAATTGATGTCACAGAGTACTTTCTTACCCCATACATACTCCTAAATTTTGTATTAAAGCGAAAACTGCAAACTAATCAAAATTATTTTAACTGGGACAAACTTTTGTGTATTGAAACTAGGACACCTAACTGTTTGATTTATAAATAGGATAAAGGAATGATTATATATGGTTGGAGTGATCTTGGTCAAAGTGTATGGACATACACTAGCCTTGAACTTAAGATTTCAAGTATACTAAAAATTCTAATTTATTTTCCATGTACAGTATAATTAGTCCCTTATTGAAGACTATCAAGTAGTTTCTTTATATGGGAACATTTTTATTCAATAGCTAATTTATATTTCACACAAACAAAATATGCAAACATTTAAATAGCTTATTTTGTTCCTTTAAAATATTACAGTTTTTATTAAATACATGATTGAATAATAGCTTGGGACAATTGATGAAATCTCTGTATGACCAAAACCTGAATCTATCTTGATAGTGCTGAAATTATATAAATTAAAAAACAAATTTAGAAAATATTTATTTTGGTTTGAATGTGTTACACAGTTAGCCCATTAAAGTTTTAGCATATTAAGCAAGATAAAACTAATTCTTAAATATTATTCACTACCACCCCCACCCCCTTTATTTATATTTTTTGCTTACTAAGGCGAGACATGACTTGTAATAATTGTAATTTTTTTTAAATGACTGACGTTTAAATTTTAAGTACAATGAAATCTCATTAAATTTGATCTTTTCGACAATCCACACATATAACTTCTTCATCGGGAAAATTTTCTTTGACCAAATTTGACCGAAAATTTGTCCCCGATAAATTCATCATAGATTACCTTAGCCTTAATATAGTGAAAGTGACTTATTGAAGTCAATAGAAAGGTCAATATATGGTATAGCCTAGACTTTAGATTTCTACATAACCCATACATTCAGCATACTTTATTCACCACATATTTCCATAACACTGAATAAACTGTATGATAAAAGTCCTCAGTTATTGACCTTTTATAGTGTACGAGTACTAAAAAAGAGACGGCGCAGTTACTTTCCTAAGTTATGTTGTACGTCATTATTCGGTTTCCCTGTTCTCGTCATCATTTCAGAATACATAATAAGTTAATAAAAACCTTAAATAAGGGAGTAACTAATTTATATAAGGCATAGCACTCTAGAAGATGGTGTGAATAGGGGTTACTGAATCCCATTTCCCTCCCCCTACTACGAATTCCCCAGTCTCCCCTTACTCCCAGACGTTCCAATATGTCCATATGTTTTACTCCCCTTCCCTCTTCCCCCGTTTTCCGCCCCATTTACCCCTCATTCCGAGGTTCCCTTATCCCTGTCCAACCCCTCTTAGAGGATCTATAATTTCTAACTTGTATCCGACCAATTTCCCCAGAATTTCAATCTCTAGCAGAGTCAAAGTCAAAAAGCTATTGAAATTTATAAGAATTTTGAAACTGAATAGTCTAAAATATTCCAAGGATTTTTCCGACTGTAAAATCCTTGATACTACATATTCAATATTTTACAATCACTTTACGCGTATCTATTAAATCATATTGTTATCCAGCGTTAGACATTGTTGTTGATAGCAATTTTGATTAAAATATCGCAAATTTTACTTGTCTTTTTAAATTTTTACCAACGTGATTTTTTTTTAAACTCGACCTCTAATTTAATTAGTTTAAGAATGTCTTCCTTTTCTTGCGATAAAGTTTCGCAAAATTTGCCCAAATCGACCAAGATTGTAGTTTTAAACGCTGGTTTGCAGGCATTCAAAACTTTTGTCACATGTAAAGCAATTTAGTGTTAGAACCTTACAGTACACATATGAAGCTGTTATCGGCTGTGAATTAAAATAAAAGTTTTAAAGACTTATTGAAAGTGACCCTGAGGTGAAAACAAATCCAGGGGAAATTGGCCCTCCCCAGGGTACGTGTTAAGGACTAATACTATACGTTTAGTCCCAGCTCTATAAATAAGGGTCTGAGATTAAAACAGTTTATCTCATTAAAACGATAAACCAATTTGATGAAAGAGATAATTTCACATAATCACATAGCTTTTTCTTTCATCAGATTTAAACAGTGTGTTGATGAAAAAAGAAATAAGATATGTGCTGTGAAATACGTTTCAGTTAACGAACGACCGAATCAATTCTTTCATTAACCAGTAGTTTTATTTCAAATATATAGTAAAATTATGAAAATTTAACTTACGAAACAAGTTCATATTAAATATATATACGCTCTTTGACTATTTTCACACAATAAAGTCTTACGATACTCGAATGTCATGAACAGTTCACGGTATAAATAAGCTCTTTAAATGTTTTTATTTTGTGAAAATAGCCACTGCCGCGCATGCTCAAATTTTTTAATCAATAATAGCAAAATTTCTATCAGATGATTCTGAAACATCTGGAACCATTATATAATACGAGTGCTAGGCTACATTAGAATTCAATTTGTTGATGTTTTATTTGTAAGAATAAGTCTGAAGCAATCTTTATAGTTACTGGGTAAGCCGTTTTGCTAAATACTATAATTTTTCACATTCTTTTTTCCAATTTCATACTATTGATTTTTATTACGTCGCTGAGTCAAATGACTGCCAAGATGAAACCATGATTTACTTCAAAGTTTTAACAACACGCCTTGCAACCCCCTTTTTTCCCCAAACCACCACCATCACCACCACAACAAAAAAAAAAATAACCAAAAAAAATAACCCCAAAAAAATAATAAAAAAAAAAACAACACACAAACAAAAGAAACAACAAAAAAATAAATAGTAATTATATTTAAAAAATATCTATACCTGAACTTTCTGTCATTTTGTCCGTTTTAGTTAATTGTATGAACAAGTTTAAATTTATTTGGAAATTTAACGAATCTGGCGATTTTTACTATTTATATGAACTGACCAACGAATTTGCTATGAATATTGATTTCAATTACTGCTACTGAATATTCATGACGCACACTTCAGTGGTGGGGAAAAACGTGACGGACAGATGGATATGTAGTAAAAATTTTCCGTTGGCTTAGTTCAAGGATAAATATGTCAGTCTAACTTAGAAGGGACTGTTGTTAGTAGGTATTATCTACGCACTTATATCTGCATAAAGGTGTAGTGGAATTAGTCATATGAGGCCATTTGTGAATATCAGGGAGGTGTCTCAATATTTGATCAGGTTACTGGACAAATACTTAAAGCTTAAAGAACAGTTACTATATTATTAGTTGAATAGATAAGAACAAGAGCATAATTATATATTAAGAGAAATTAATTGAATATTAAAGCAAATTGAATAAAAATGCTCAAATACAAAAAAAGGAGCGCCAGTGGTTCTTAATTAAATGTTTTAACATCTAAAAAAGGATTCAGGTTTGCCATAGGATTTAAAAAACCGAATGTATTTATAGTTTTTGTATAAGTACACGAAGCAGAGCCTAGACAATTTATCGTTGAAGCGAGATATTTCGATCCTACATTCGGTCGTCGGCGGCGGCGTCAATATTTAGGTTGAGTCAGTGGTTATTTTTTTTTATTAGACGTCAATACTTTTATCAAACCTTCATGGAATTTTATGAAACCTGGACATAAGCTTTTTTATGATCAATCTGAGATAGTATCCACAGGGAAATTTTGACTGATGATATATTTTTCCGTATTTTACGAACTTAAGTTTTTTTTTTGCAGTTATCATAAGATACATAAGATATAGAATTTCAGCTTTCAGACATCAATAACGTTGTAAAACCTTCATGGAAATTTACCAAACTCTGACAGAAGCTTTTTTATACCCAGTGCAATTTTTTTTTTCATATTTCCATCTTAAATTGTTGAGCAATTAAAATTAAGGTATAGTCTGGGGGTTGAAGTTGTTTAGACATCGACTGCTTTAACAAACTTCAATTTTATAAAACTTTGACAGAACCTTATTTATGATTAAGAGATCATGTCATGAAGCAAACATCTGAGAATTTTTTTCTTCTTATTTTCCCCACCTTTATTGATAAATAAACTTATATTTTTGCAGTTAATATTTCAATAAAGTCTGATGTTAAAAAAAAATAAACTTCAATAACTTTTGCAAACTTTTTTATAATTTAAGGAAACTTTGACAGACGCTTTTTAGAAATAACGTTTAAGGCAAAATTTAGAAAATACCTTTTTGTAATTTTAAGTATAAATTACTCATAACGAGATAACAATAGTGTATCCAAACTACAGAAAAGACCATATATGATCATGATCATCATATAAAACTCACAAAACATTAAAAGAATGATAAAGTAGATCGTGAAGCGGATTCGTGTGGTGACTTTACTGTGCTCCTCTTATTGAAGATCTGTCCAATAACAATTAAGAGTCAAAGATTATACTTTAACATCACAAGGAACCAAAGTAACACTAGTTTTATTTTCTTTTATGTTGCTACAAGTTTTAATATAAAAAACGATAATTTAAGAAAACAGCACAATAAACATACAAGAAGAAGGACTTATCAAATCAAACCAATATTGTTATGGCCCAGCCGCATTGTCATTTAACAGCTTCTTGTACGATTGACAATTAAGTTTTGATTTGGTATATGGCGGCCGGATGCGGCCATTTCGTCTTGATATTTTATAAAGCGAAACGCGAAAACATGAAGGCGAATACGCTAAATGTATTTTTTTTTTAAGTTCGCATTTACATGATTTTCGCGTATTTCATTTTCACATTTTCGCCTTTTCGTGTTTCGAGTGTTTTTAAGATATAATTTACAGAAACATAGTTATTACCAGTTTTAACCCCTAAATGAAAAAAAAATTAAATTTTTTTTTTTTTTAAATATCTAGTTTTAACAGTTTTAAAGTGTTCTTTTCTTTATTACTTGTAGAAAAGCGTTATTTACAGATACAAAAAAAGAAAAATAACAAAAATATCGAACTCCCAGGAAAATTCATAACGGATAGTCCCTTATCAAGTGGCAAATATTCATTTTATTCTATTTTAAAGTAAACTATGTTACAAGATCGTCAAGCGGATTCAGATGATGAATAACTGTGCCCCTCTTATTGAAGATCTGCACATTAACAGTTTTGCTTTAACTTCACAAGGCATAATATTGCATTTTTTCATTAGCGCCTAACATGCGATGTTGTTTACCGAGCCCGGAAATTTATATACGATCTGGGTAAACTTATCAATCCTTTAAATAAACTTATTTTAAAAGGTTACCAATTCAACACTGTAATTATATCTTTGAATATTGTTTGTATTGGTATAAATATTGATTTTGTAATCAAATTAAAATCATACTAAATAGTATTGTTATACACATATGCTCATTAACGGTACTACAATCTGTCGATACCTTTATTTTTGGCATTGCACAAGTTTATGTTTTTTCTCTGACTGTTAATGACGGCTTAACACTAAATCCATTGGATGTTGGATGTGCACTGATTGATATTTTAGTCTTTGATACATGATTTTTTATTAATTGTTATTGGCTTTGAAATAGCTGCCAATAACTGCGAGTTCTCTCAGATATGTCTTTTTTGTTGTTAGGGATGAGGGTTGTATAAGTACACTGCCACGTCCGGTCTGTGTTTTTGTTTGATGTTTTTTCTGCTTTGTATCGGTCTGATGAGTTAAGCCTTTTTCAACTGATTTTTATAGTTTGTTCTTATGTTGGGCTGTTACACCACTGTCTCAGGTTAGGGAAGGGTTGAGCGCTTACAAACATGTTTAACCCCGCCTCACTACCGTTTGATATTTTGACAGGTAAATGGTAAAAAGCCAATAATTAAGGCGACTTATTAGAGGCAGTATTTCTGGGTCTCTCAAAAAATCTTCTAAACCACGTACTTTTCATTTAAAAATTACAAAAAATTAAAGTTTTTTTTTTTATTCTTCACAGTGAAGTACTGCGTTGACTTGCTCCATATTTGAATGTGTATGGTTATGTTTTAGTTAATATGTAGTTAATCATATACTATAATCATTGTTAAATAGAGAGTCTTTAAGTGAAATACCACCGAAACATAGTACGTCACAGCCGGTTTCATATCAAAATTGTCGAAACAAAATATTCTCTTAATTTTGACAGTTGTAGGAATTTTACCCTGCATTTCATTGCAGAAAACTGTTCTTATCATAAACACATATCTTGGGTGTTTCAATACACCATTCTTTTTTATTTGATGTTCCTTCAAAATATTTTGGAACCTTGAGGTGACATGGTTACTAAAGCCTGTAAATTGGGAAAAAGGGACAAAAATTTGCTTGGTTTACTTCCGGCGATGATTATTTTCTTATATGCAATGAAATATTATGAGAAATTTTTACTGTAGTACTGGACAAGATTAAATTTTACTCATACCAAGTATTACTTTATTTGAAAGAATAAAAATTCTGCACATTTTTTTTCTCAGGAAATGCCAAGTTTACAAAGATTACTGGGGGAAAAATAATGGTTGTATTACCTCTTAATGAAAATTTGTAAATAGTAAAATAATAATGATAATAAAAAAGAAAAATGATAACAGTAGTTATTATTGCTATTATCATTGATCAGGTTTAAAAAATTGATGTTTACTTGACTGCCAAAGCATATTTTCATTTATTTAAAAAAGAAAAAGAAAAAAAAAAGCAAATTAAACTAACATCAATCTATGTAAACTTTGTTTCAAATCACTTTTCATTGTCCTATATAATAAAATTGAGAATGGAAATGGGGAATGTGTCAAAGAGACAACAACCCGACCATAGAGCAGACAACAGCTGAAGGCCACCAATGGGTCTTCAATGCAGCGAGAAACTCCCGCACCCGGAGGCGTCCTTCAGCTGGCCCCTAAACAAATATGTATACTAGTTCAGTGATAATGGACGTCATACCAAACTCCAAATTATACACAAGAAACTAAAATTAAAAATGATACAAGACTAACAAAGGCCAGAGGCTCCTGACTTGGGACAGGCGCAAAAAATGCGGCGGGGTTAAACATGTTTTTTGAGATCTCAACCCTCCCCCTATACATCTAGCCAATGTAGAAAAAACAAACGTACAACAGTACGCACAGTTAAACTCAGTTTAAGAGAAGTCCGAGTCCGATGTCAGAATAGGAAACAAAAGAAAATAAACAAAATGACAATAATACATAAATACATAAATAACAACAGACTACTAGCAGTTACTGACATGCCAGCTCCAGACCTCAATTAAACTGATTGAAAGATTATGTCTTCATCATTTAACCTCAATGTAAAATTTACGTCAAACTATAATGATATTATTAGCAGCTTTATCAGCCGGGACAAAAACAAATTCCTTGGCTAGTTCTTTTAGTTTATGTTTGATACGAGAAATAGGAAATTTATGGTTGTTGTCAAGAGTAAAATGTTCTTTAAAATGTTGTATACGTATATCAACTATCTTCATTACTGAATTGAAAAAGAGAGTCCAAAGATTTTTTGTCAGCTTTTTCCCGTTTTATCCATTTCAAACAGTAAGCACGAAGTGAGTCGTGGATGATATTACGACACTCATTCCAATTAATAATTGACGGGGGACGATATTTAGGTCCTTTACGGAGGAATTATTTTAACTCTCGGTCGCGAACGATGTTAAGGTCTCCTGTTATAACATGGGAAATGGGCCATAAGTGTATTCGGAATTACTACAATTACATGACGTAGGTGTATTTTCACTGATATTTACATCTTTACAGACTTGGCTATAATTAAACACAAATTTTCGGGTAGATTTCTTGTAAATATAACAAATAAGAGGGAGTTCAGTATTATCAAAATATCCAGGAATTTGTTCTTTAACAGAATGGTCGTTAAAAATACCGGCAATATTTACAAAATCAAAACCTTTATTGACATACTTAATTTTAATAAAATGTTTTTTTATGATCTTCAGAGCGATCAATTTTGGGAAACAGTTTAGAATAACAATATGCCATTATAATTTGAACGATTTCATACTTCGGACTGCAATATGAAATTGTGTTGCAATCCTCTAAAATTTTATTTAATTTATTTATAGGTAAAGAACAGAGCTTGGTTAATAGATAATGTCTGCCGTTGTTTTTTGAAATAGAAATTAGGTCCGAAATATTTGTATGGTTGGTCCGAAATTTTCTTTGATTGCGATTTTTTCTACGCCAATGAGAACGGTTTTTACTAACAGTTTTAGAAACTATA